GCCCTGGCCAGAATTTCAACATTGCCTGAGGTGTTCTTCTAGGGATGCCGGCGACGTTTTGTCTTGTTGGGCTTAGAAGATTCCTGGGAGCTGCCAGCCTTCCTCTTCAGGGCTCTCCATGGTCCCTGAGGTGAGCGGTCTCTGTCCCAACTGGGAGTGGAGAAACCCGCCACAGCCTCCCCCAGATCCTCATGCAGCTCTTCCTGCTCCGCGTTGCTGGGAATAGGGGCACTGGGGGTGCTGCTGGGACCCCCACAAAGAGCAGCAGTTGAGATGCTGGGGCATGGGTGCTCCTCTTTGTCAGCTCCAGCAGGGCTGCCGGAGGGGGCTGGGCCACGTGTGGCAGACTGTCCTTGGGAGCTAGAGGGGCTGGGGGCAGCTCTTGGGCTGCCCTCCTGCTCCTCAGCAGTGTGGTCGTCCTCCAGGCCCAGCAGACGTTGGGCTTCCACACTGCACTGTTGCACAGCAACATCAATTAGCTGCTGCACAAATGTGGCTTCATGGGTTTGGAGGAAGGGCTCCAGCAGCTGGGCCAGGAATTCTTCATTCAGCCCAAAGAGGCCCAGGATGGACATTACAATGTCCTCCAATATGGATGCCCGTGCATGCTGGTTCCCAAAGATCATCTGCAGCTCCTGACGCACCCAGGGCTGCAGGGACTGGAGGAGAGGTGGGTGGTCCCTGAAAACATCTGCCCAGGTGCGTGGTTCAAGGCCACCCGGAAGAGCCCTTGACAGCTGGTTCTCTACAGACTGTTGTGCTACTGCTGCAGGTCTCTGGGCAGCTGGATATCCAGAAGGACCTCCCTCCTGGTGGCCAACAACTGATGGCACTGCAGGTGATGGGAGGACATATTCTTCAAAGTTGTCATCCACCCGCACCAAGTGCACAATGGAGAGGATCCTCCTCTTGCAGAGGGGGCACTCGGGCTTGCTCTCAGCCCACCGCTGAATGCAGGGGTAGCAGAACTGGTGGAGGCATGGCAGCACGTAGCTTGGCTCCTCACAGCTGTCCAGGCAGATGGGGCAGTGGTTTTCCAGCTCCATTGCCATGCTCTCCACTCACTGCGCTAGGCTGGGTGAAGCTGGGGATGTCCAGCTCTCTCACTGCCACTGCCACAGCTGACCCACGGAGTGGTGGAAGAAATGCCCAGGTTCCTCAAGGAAGAAACCCTCCAAGGGCCCCAGGGTGAGCTGTACCCACCCAGTTCAGCTCTATGGCTGTGAGCCTGCCCCCTGGGTGCCCTGCCTGCCTGGGCAGGGCCAGGGAAAAATCCGTGTTGGGTCCAGTACTGAGAGCTTCAAGGAGCAATTCCCTGAGCACAGCGCCAACCAAAGGTGTTGCTCACCGCTCCAGACCTCACAAACTCGCTCAGCTGGCGTCCCAGCATGAGCTGGCTGGGTGAAGCTCAATGCATGGTTATAAACAGCGAGGGATGCTGGGTCACAATCCATTGCTTGGAAATGTCACAGCCATTGCTAGGTGATATCACAGTGGGCCATCCTCACCCACTGTGCTCTCCTCAGCAGCTCTGTGGTCTGGAGTTACCACAGCACCACTGCCCCCTCCCTATCTCTTCTCCTGTGTTTCATAACAGTCACTGAGGCCTTGTCCGTGTGTTGCCAGGGACGCCTTTAGCTGGGGGAGATGTTTCCAGGCACATGTGGCAAGAGGGTTCATTGGATAACACCTCATGCTTCCCTGGCAGGCTGCAGCACAAAGTCCCCCAGGCTCTCCCCTTGCTCCAGTGCTGCTGGCCAGCCCTTTGGGCTCCCCTGGTTCCTTGCACTGAGAGTCAATTGTTTTTCTCCCCCAGACAGAAGGCTCAAGGGTGATGTCCTCTGCTCAGCATCCATCAGATCTCATCCAGGCACTGCATCCTCTTTGGGGTCCCAGAGACTGGTTGACAAACTAGAGGACCTCAGGAGAGGAAGGCAGGGATTTGAGGTTTAGTATTGAGGTTGCTGGTTTAGTATGGAGCAGAGAAAATATCAGGGCACCTCAGAGCACACTCCGGTGCCTCTGGGAAAGGCATCAAGGGGATGGGGACAGGTGCTTCTTTACACTTCCTGGTGGGAGGGTGAGACAGTGGCATCTCCTGGAACTAGAGAGCTTTAAGAATCAAAACCCTTGTGAGATCATGAAGCACTGGAGTGGGGTGCCCAGAGAGGTTGCAAGAACCCTCATCCTAGAGATCTTCAGGACCTGAGTGGCCACAGTCCAAAGCAGAACTGCCACAGGGCCATGACTGGATGCTGGCTGAAGACTTGGAAGAGAAAACATTGCCAGTGGGAAATGTGGCAAAGATTTCCAGAGGTGCCGTAGCTTCTAGAATGACATACACCTATATTCACCGACATCAGTGATTAATGTGTGGAAGTGGGTATCTCAGCCTTGAGACTGTAGACCTGATAAGAAGGTACATCTTGGCCAGACCACATGGCTGGAATGCATTCAAGGAGAAGAAACTGTTTTTAGGAGCCTTGTGACCATAAAAGGATAATTTAAGGGATGAGATGTTCCCCAAATGACCACCAGAAACTCTCAAGAGACCCCTACTCTAATGTAACTAAGTTCTGAGAAGTAATTTAAATATATAAAACAATTTGTGAGAATGCTCAGCATATATGCATGAGTTTCAGGAAATACAGTCAATATGTATTAGTGACATAGATATAAACTAGTGTTTTAGATGCCTGAGTGTGCACGTGTTGGGAGGAGTGATCCCCCACACCCGATGCCAAAATAAAGTAACGCCTGCTTTCTAATTACGATTAGAATTACAATCTAATTACAATGTGAGAGAGTTTTATTTTCCTGAAGTTTTCAGTGATGGAGCAGAAGTGCTGCCTGGGACTGCCGTGCCTGTGCAGCCCAGCCAAGTGCCCCACGCCTCCCACCACTCGGGAACCAGAGCTCTCTGCTGAAGGTGGCCTGAGTGCAGACAGAAATGCAGCAGAACAAAACCCCTTTGTTTTCCCACAAGTTGTCATTCCTTGTTAAAAAGTGCTGCACAGTTCTAGAATCATAGAATCATAGAATCAGCTGGGTTGGAAGGGACCTTCAAGATCATCAAGTCCAACCCTTGATCCACTACCGGTAGGAGAAAGAGCCCACAGTGCAGTGGGTGCCATCCCCTGCCTAACCAGGGCTCTCTGGCAGAGCAGCAGCAGTGCCAGCTCCTTTCAGCCCTCACTCTTCCTTGGCTTCACCTGAGAAGCCATGAGCCTCTGTATGTTAGCACAGCCAGTCACATTCCCAGGCTGGATCAGCTCCTGCTGGCGGGCAAAGCCTGGCCGTTTGACTGCTTCCAAAAAGTAGTAAATGCAGAGGTACAGACATACATACAGAGGAGCCCTGGGACTACCCAATAAATGTGCAAATATATGGGGGATGTTTTTTGAAATTATTACAGGTCTCATGCCGATAGTGCCTTCTCTGCTAGTTCTGTGCAATTCATTGGGCCATTTGCTGACCTCCAGCAGTCACCCCCAGCTGCGTTCCCTGGTTGCTGTTCGTTCCATCTCAAAGCACTGTTGCATGGACTCCTGAGTTCCAGCTTTCAGGCTGGAGCACAAAGCCATGTTGTTCCTCCCGAGTGGATGTTCTGTCTCCATTTCACTGTGCCTTGGAGCAACCACATATGCTAAGAAGTGCAACTTAGAAAGCAGGGAATATAATGGGTTGCAAACTGCTGTGTGTGAGCAGGCTGCTAGAGTTTTCTGTTCTTTTAGTTTGAAGAAACAGTGCATTTTCTGAACGAAGGATGATGTGTGATTAGCAGGGCTTTGGGAGTGTTTTTTCTAAGGCATGTGTCTTTGCAACCATTTCCTGATCCCCAATCTAGAAGAAAATTCAGTCTCCCACTGCAATTTTAAAGCTCCAAGGTTATGATGTGGAAAAAGTTATGGCTGTAGATCCAAAGAAGTTACACGTCACATACATCTAATCAAGCATTTCTTGAGGATTGTCCCAACTTTCAGCCTGACATACACAGAGCATTTGCGTTAGGACAATACCCAACCTCCCAGAAGTCGCAGTCTGAGTTTGACCAGCTGCTCTCTCCACTGCAGTCTGTGGGCTCATGCACTGACCGGTGGTGGTCCTGCAGCTGGAAAACCCCCAAAGCTTGGAAAGAACTTGTGTAGAGCTATTCAAAAATGCTAACATGGTTTCAAAACTAGACACATGGCAAAAGCCCAGATCTCTCTCTATTTTTTTTATTTTTATTGAGAAAGGAAATTGCAGGTGATTTTTCCAGCCACCTGCTGTTAATCTCAGGAGGGAGAAGAAAACTGGTTTCAAAGCAAGAGGAGGGGGAAGGATGCTACCAAACTTTGGAATGGTTGTGGCTTTGCTGTTTGCCTGAGGCCTGCCGATCACCTGATCTCTTTGGCCTCTGCCTCGTAGCTCCCACCTTTGATGGGACTTATCCATTTTGGCCCACTGGTTTCCTCCTACCACCACCTTCTAAGTTTTCCCACATTCTGTTTTAAATTTCTTGTTTCCTTTCCTTCTGACCATTCCAGCTCCATCCCTGCGGCTCACAGATGAGCCCAGGAAAGCTCCCAGAGGTGACTCACAGGCCCCAGCTGCTACTTTGAGATGCCATAGCAAGGCAGCAACAGGTTGATATGTGTGCAGCAGGTTGGTTACTGGAACAAGCATTCTCATTTCTAGTCAGAAGCATAAGCGGTCAAAGGTCATGTTTCCTTTGGTTTGGTCACATCCTGGTTCCTTCTCAGTGTTCAGCTTGGGGTACAGAGTACAAGGGCTTGGTGCATTGTTTGAGTTACTCTTGGAACCTTTGAGCAGCAGGTTTTGAAATACAAGGGTATTTTGTGCTGCTCTGTAACAGAACTCTCCAGGCTCTTTTTGTGTTTGCTGTTGTCCTGCATAAATTCACAATGCAACTTAGAGAGGCTGCTATTGTGATGTCAAGGGATTGTTGCCATGTCTTCGTGGTGTCAATGATGCACAGAAGGCGTCAGTGATCAGACCAAATCTTTGCTTGCACGTTGCAGAAGTATCCTCCTGCTCAAGGTGTTCTCAGTGAACAGGGGTGTCATTTATTCTCTTCTTGGAGCACAGCACTTGCACAGCACTGCTAAAATGGCTGAGCCAATCGCTGCTGCAGTTTGCACTGTCTATTCTATGGGTTATTCTGGCTATTATTTGACCCATCTGGCACGTAAGTAGAGGTTTTTCCTGGGTGTAGCATAATCTGGCTTTTGTATTGCTGTGCTCTTCCTTAAGGGACTGAATTGATTGTAAAACAAAAACACCACTGAGATGCCACTAGTTTGGTAAAGTTCCTGTCAACAGCTTCACCTAAAAAAGGGAGTATCTCTAGACACAGGGTGTGGATGGCATTTGAAATGTAACCTGCAGGGGTTCTGTTCCCTCCACGGGATAGTATGTGGCAGTGGAGCCTGTCATTTCTCAGTTTGCTGGTTTGATCAACACCTTCCAAAATGCAGACTGGCACAGCTTCCCAAAGTCTTCCTAAAAACTGTGCTATTCTCTCCAGAATTGTGGGAAAGCTTCTTTTTTTCTAAATTCTGTCATTAAAGGATTTGACTCTCTAGCTTGACACTTTACTGTGGGCTAAAATAGTGATTCCCTTGGCAATGAAGTGCAAACTCCAAAACAGTTTGTGTATGCTCCTGAACCCGGGACCTGTTTCTGTGCTATTTCAGAGTAGAACTGTCACAGCTAAGGCGGATTTTGGGGAAGATTTTCTGGGCAAGTGCTTTCAGCAAGCTAATGGGAATTAGTGCATTCAATTTATTAAAAAAAAAAGTAATAGGAAAGAGATGAGAAAAAAGCTGCTTTAGCTGTTGGGTGGAGCAGAAGCATTGACTGCTAAAAAAAATCTGTATTTTCTTAACCAAGTTTCTTATTTATTACCTGACCAAACAGGCCAAAACGTAAACACAGCCTAGGACATTGTCCTGTTCTCTTGCTTGCTGTGTGAAAGAACTTTTGCTCCTGGAGTGATGTTGTGAAAGGAAAATGCTCTCCTTTTGGCTTGACTTGTTCCATGGGATTTCCCACCACAGGCAGTTTTTTAACATCTGGTTCATTTTCATGTGCCCATTTCAGGTCATCTCACCTATGGATGGAGAGAAGCTGATCCTTCAGTGAGTGAGAAAAGAGCCTTTGACGTTCCTGGCGTTCAAAAGAATTGTGGGGCAAGCTGTGAGCTTGGCCTGTAACAGTAGAGTGTAGAGTGCCAACTCAACAGTGCCAGTTGAGTAGGCTGAAAGAAAGTCCATTTCAGTGTCTGCAGCAGCAGTAGCTGGTTGTTTCTTATTTTCCATTTAAGGGCTTTTAAAAGATAAAAGCCCAGTTTTGCAGACAGAAGGTTGCTTTCTGATTCTAGCCAGGGTGGAACATCTAATTCAGAACAATATGCAGTACCATCTAATTAGCCCATTTTAATTCAGTTTTAATGACTTAGAATCCCATTTCTATCAAATGTTATGATTTCTCCTTAGTACAGCTGAGTATACAGCTGAATAGAAATAAGTTTATAAATGAGAGGTAACTCCCTATCTCTCTGGCTACTGTCTGTCTACAGAGCACAAACCAAACATCAGCACCTCCTCAGTCTCCCTCTGTTCCTGGAGAAGAGGGCAAAGAGGAGGAAAATTACAACAACCCTCCGTCTGTTGCTGCACCACAGCCTGGACAACCTGAATCAGTAAGCACCAGCTTTGGTTGGCACTGTCTTTGGTGCAAGGCAGTGTTGCAAGTTTCTGACCAGACAGCACTTGCCCTTCGTGGCTGAAGATGCTGAGAGATGGAGTCCTGCAGTGACACAGTGACTCACTCCAGCCCTTGACAGCTGGAGAATGGGCTTTGGACTTCCATGTTCAGGCATCAGTTTCCTGGGTTTCTGACAGGGGCCATAAATCTGTCTTGGGACTCCAAGAATCCCAAGATAAGAGGTAGCATTTTGTCTTTAAGTGCTACCAGTGTATAAGTGAGTGGCATTGTGCCTTGTGTGCTGGCCCCTTGTCCGCAGAGGAGAGAGTGTTCCAAAGACCAAGCTCTCGGCCTTGCAGGATATGTAGGTGGCACTGTGCCCTCGAGGGACCCTCCCCTCTGCACAGGCTGTCTAAGTAGCTAAATGAACAGCTGTCATGGTTTGAGATAGTCCCAAAATCCAATTCCCTAGCTCCATTCCCCCTCCCACATCTCAACCTAATGTGAGATGGGTTTTTCCAGACAAAACACACCAGACTCAAAGTGGGGAAAAGGGAATATATTACAATGACTGTACAAATAAATACCATATCACATTATACACATGATCATAACTATCTCTACCATGACATATATATTTACAATGGACCAGATCTCTCCTCCCCTCCAAATAAAAGTCCAGGAGGGAAAGAAGGACAGATCCCTTCCAGTCCTTAAGCAGCAGCATCTTCTAAGGCAGCAAGTTTCTTCTTCTCATGCATGCAGCAGCTGTGGCTGGCTTTTCTGCCAGCATCCACGAGGGAGGTATCCAAGCCTCTCTCTCAGCCCCATCGCCTCACAACCGAGGGGTCTTCCGTGGGCTTCGTAACCCCAGACAAGGTCGTATCACCACGTCATATCACAGGGGGGTCTTCGTGACGGTCTGGTATCTCTTGCAGGGCCTCTGTGCCCTGTTTCTCAGGCTGCCACCGTGGCAGCAGTGCGAGGGGGGAGCCAAGGTCAACTCCCCCCGCATTCCATCTGGCCGTCCCGGTCCACCTCTGGGACGCTCTGAGCTTCTCAGCTCCTCTGTCTCCGGTACTGCATGTCCAAAACTCTTCTCCTAAATAGGAGTCCATGTCCCTCTTCTCCAAGAGGGTCTTCAAGGGAGTTTTGGGGGATCTGGTACAGTCTTACCCCAAACTCTGTCTCTTGGCTCTCCTTCCCTCGTCTCTCCTTCCAGGAGTCTTTTCTCTGGTGCTGCATGTTGCTTCTGCTGCTCCTCCAGTTCAGGTCCTTATCTCTGGCTCTCTGCCACCGTTTCTCTGGTCAGTGTCGGCTGCTGCTCTGTGCCCATGGAGAAAACATCTCCCGGCATAACTACAGGCACCTAGCCCAGCTTTATGCTGTTCCAGGTCCCTGCAGCCCCCCAGCCAGAGGCTGGGAGGCCCCAGAGGGCCCAAGGGGCTCAGAGCCCCTTCTTGTGGCTCTACAACATGGCCACCTCTCCTACAACAACCAAACTACAACTCTTCTTTTCCGGTCTGGTTGTGGTATGTTTACATTTCTGCAGGAGCGCCCATTGGGCAGAACTTCAAAACTTCCAGGGGTTTCCACCCCTTGGGGTCTACCACTTTTTCTGAGCCTCTGGGGAAAACAAGGTCCAAACTACGACAACAGCTCAGATAGACCTGGGTATAGAGCTGGACATAAATAAGGTATAAATGAAAAGTTACTCCTGATCCCTCAAGCTATTTTCTGTCTGCAGAGTGCAAAACCAGCATTAGAACTTGTTCGGTCTCCCTCTGTTCCTGGGGAAGAGGGCAAAGAGGAGGAAAATTACAACAACCCTCCGTCTGTTGCTGCACCACAGCCTGGACAACCTGAATCAGTAAGCACCAGCTTTGGTTGGCACTGTCTTTGGTGTAAGGCAGTGTTGCAAGTTTCTGACCAGACAGCACTTGCCCTTCGTGGCTGAAGATGCTGAGAGATGGAGTCCTGCAGTGACACAGTGACTCACTCCAGCCCCTGACAGCTGGAGAATGGGCTTTGGACTTCCATGTTCAGGCATCACTTTCCTGGGTTTCTGACAGGGGCCATAAATCTGTCTTGAGATTCCAAGAATCCCAAGATAAGAGGTAGCATTTTGTCTTTAAGTGCTACCAGTGTAAAGGTGAGTGGCATTGTGCCTTGTGTGCAGGCTCCCTGTCCCCAGAGGAGAGAGTGTTCCAAAGACCAAGCTCTCGGCCTTGCAGGATATGTAGGTGGCACTGTGCCCTCGAGGGACCCTCCCCTCTGCACAGGCTGTCTAAGTAGCTAAATGAACAGCTCAGATAGACCTGGGTATAGAGCTGGACATAAATAAGGTATAAATGAAAAGTTACTCCTGATCCCTCAAAGCTATTTTCTGTCTGCAGAGTGCAAAACCAGCATTAGAACTTGTTCGGTCTCCCTCTGTTCCTGGGGAAGAGGGCAAAGAGGAGGAAAATTATAACAACCCTCCATCTGTTGCTGCACCACAGCCTGGACAACCTGAATCAGTAAGCACCAGCTTTGGTTGGCACTGTCTTTGGTGCAAGGCAGTGTTGCAAGTTTCTGACCAGACAGCACTTGCCCTTCGTGGCTGAAGATGCTGAGAGATGGAGTCCTGCAGTGACACAGTGACTCACTCCAGCCCCTGACAGCTGGAGAATGGGCTTTGGACTTCCATGTTCAGGCATCACTTTCCTGGGTTTCTGACAGGGGTCATACATCTCTCTTGGAATCAGAAGAGGTAGCATTTTGTCTTTAAGTGCTACCAGTGTAAAGGTGAGTGGCATTGTGCCTTGTGTGCAGGCCCCCTGTCCCCAGAGGAGAGAGTGTTCCAAAGACCAAGCTCTCAGCCTTGCAGGATATGTAGGTGGCACTGTGCCCTCGAGGGACCCTCCCCTCTGCACAGGCTGTCTAAGTAGCTAAATGAACAGCTCAGATAGACCTGGGTATAGAGCTGGACATAAATAAGGTATAAATGAAAGTTACTCCTGATCCCTCAAAGCTATTTTCTGTCTGCAGAGTGCAAAACCAGCATTAGAACTTGTTCGGTCTCCCTCTGTTCCTGGAGAAGAGGGCAAAGAGGAGGAAAATTACAACAACCCTCCGTCTGTTGCTGCACCACAGCCTGGACAACCTGAATCAGTAAGCACCAGCTTTGGTTGGCACTGTCTTTGGTGCAAGGCAGTGTTGCAAGTTTCTGACCAGACAGCACTTGCCCTTCGTGGCTGAAGATGCTGAGAGATGGAGTCCTGCAGTGACACAGTGACTCACTCCAGCCCTTGACAGCTGGAGAATGGGCTTTGGACTTCCATGTTCAGGCATCAGTTTCCTGGGTTTCTGACAGGGGCCATAAATCTGTCTTGGGACTCCAAGAATCCCAAGATAAGAGGTAGCATTTTGTCTTTAAGTGCTACCAGTGTATAAGTGAGTGGCATTGTGCCTTGTGTGCTGGCCCCTTGTCCGCAGAGGAGAGAGTGTTCCAAAGACCAAGCTCTCGGCCTTGCAGGATATGTAGGTGGCACTGTGCCCTCGAGGGACCCTCCCCTCTGCACAGGCTGTCTAAGTAGCTAAATGAACAGCTGTCATGGTTTGAGATAGTCCCAAAATCCAATTCCCTAGCTCCATTCCCCCTCCCACATCTCAACCTAATGTGAGATGGGTTTTTCCAGACAAAACACACCAGACTCAAAGTGGGGAAAAGGGAATATATTACAATGACTGTACAAATAAATACCATATCACATTATACACATGATCATAACTATCTCTACCATGACATATATATTTACAATGGACCAGATCTCTCCTCCCCTCCAAATAAAAGTCCAGGAGGGAAAGAAGGACAGATCCCTTCCAGTCCTTAAGCAGCAGCATCTTCTAAGGCAGCAAGTTTCTTCTTCTCATGCATGCAGCAGCTGTGGCTGGCTTTTCTGCCAGCATCCACGAGGGAGGTATCCAAGCCTCTCTCTCAGCCCCATCGCCTCACAACCGAGGGGTCTTCCGTGGGCTTCGTAACCCCAGACAAGGTCGTATCACCACGTCATATCACAGGGGGGTCTTCGTGACGGTCTGGTATCTCTTGCAGGGCCTCTGTGCCCTGTTTCTCAGGCTGCCACCGTGGCAGCAGTGCGAGGGGGGAGCCAAGGTCAACTCCCCCCGCATTCCATCTGGCCGTCCCGGTCCACCTCTGGGACGCTCTGAGCTTCTCAGCTCCTCTGTCTCCGGTACTGCATGTCCAAAACTCTTCTCCTAAATAGGAGTCCATGTCCCTCTTCTCCAAGAGGGTCTTCAAGGGAGTTTTGGGGGATCTGGTACAGTCTTACCCCAAACTCTGTCTCTTGGCTCTCCTTCCCTCGTCTCTCCTTCCAGGAGTCTTTTCTCTGGTGCTGCATGTTGCTTCTGCTGCTCCTCCAGTTCAGGTCCTTATCTCTGGCTCTCTGCCACTGTTTCTCTGGTCAGTGTCGGCTGCTGCTCTGTGCCCATGGAGAAAAACATCTCCCGGCATAACTACAGGCACCTAGCCCAGCTTTATGCTGTTCCAGGTCCCTGCAGCCCCCCAGCCAGAGGCTGGGAGGCCCCAGAGGGCCCAAGGGGCTCAGAGCCCCTTCTTGTGGCTCTACAACATGGCCACCTCTCCTACAACAACCAAACTACAACTCTTCTTTTCCGGTCTGGTTGTGGTATGTTTACATTTCTGCAGGAGCGCCCATTGGGCAGAACTTCAAAACTTCCAGGGGTTTCCACCCCTTGGGGTCTACCACTTTTTCTGAGCCTCTGGGGAAAACAAGGTCCAAACTACGACAACAGCTCAGATAGACCTGGGTATAGAGCTGGACATAAATAAGGTATAAATGAAAGTTACTCCTGATCCCTCAAGCTATTTTCTGTCTGCAGAGTGCAAAACCAGCATTAGAACTTGTTCGGTCTCCCTCTGTTCCTGGGGAAGAGGGCAAAGAGGAGGAAAATTACAACAACCCTCCGTCTGTTGCTGCACCACAGCCTGGACAACCTGAATCAGTAAGCACCAGCTTTGGTTGGCACTGTCTTTGGTGCAAGGCAGTGTTGCAAGTTTCTGACCAGACAGCACTTGCCCTTCGTGGCTGAAGATGCTGAGAGATGGAGTCCTGCAGTGACACAGTGACTCACTCCAGCCCCTGACAGCTGGAGAATGGGCTTTGGACTTCCATGTTCAGGCATCACTTTCCTGGGTTTCTGACAGGGGCCATACATCTGTCTTGAGATTCCAAGAATCCCAAGATAAGAGGTAGCATTTTGTCTTTAAGTGCTACCAGTGTAAAGGTGAGTGGCATTGTGCCTTGTGTGCTGGCCCCCTGTCCACAGAGGAGAGAGTGTTCCAAAGACCAAGCTCTCGGCCTTGCAGGATATGTAGGTGGCACTGTGCCCTCGAGGGACCCTCCCCTCTGCACAGGCTGTCTAAGTAGCTAAATGAACAGCTCAGATAGACCTGGGTATAGAGCTGGACATAAATAAGGTATAAATGAAAAGTTACTCCTGATCCCTCAAAGCTATTTTCTGTCTGCAGAGTGCAAAACCAGCATTAGAACTTGTTCGGTCTCCCTCTGTTCCTGGGGAAGAGGGCAAAGAGGAGGAAAATTATAACAACCCTCCATCTGTTGCTGCACCACAGCCTGGACAACCTGAATCAGTAAGCACCAGCTTTGGTTGGCACTGTCTTTGGTGCAAGGCAGTGTTGCAAGTTTCTGACCAGACAGCACTTGCCCTTCGTGGCTGAAGATGCTGAGAGATGGAGTCCTGCAGTGACACAGTGACTCACTCCAGTCCCTGACAGCTGGAGAATGGGCTTTGGACTTCCATGTTCAGGCATCAGTTTCCTGGGTTTCTGACAGGGGTCATACATCTCTCTTGGAATCAGAAGAGGTAGCATTTTGTCTTTAAGTGCTACCAGTGTAAAGGTGAGTGGCATTGTGCCTTGTGTGCAGGCTCCCTGTCCCCAGAGGAGAGAGTGTTCCAAAGACCAAGCTCTCGGCCTTGCAGGATATGTAGGTGGCACTGTGCCCTCGAGGGACCCTCCCCTCTGCTCAGACTGTCTAAGTAGCTAAATGAACAGCTCAGATAGACCTGGGTATAGAGCTGGACATAAATAAGGTATAAATGAAAGTTACTCCTGATCCCTCAAGCTATTTTCTGTCTGCAGAGTGCAAAACCAGCATTAGAACTTGTTCGGTCTCCCTCTGTTCCTGGAGAAGAGGCTAAAGAGGAGGAAAATTACAACAACCCTCCGTCTGTTGCTGCACCACAGCCTGGACAACCTGAATCAGTAAGCACCAGCTTTGGTTGGCACTGTCTTTGGTGTAAGGCAGTGTTGCAAGTTTCTGACCAGACAGCACTTGCCCTTCGTGGCTGAAGATGCTGAGAGATGGAGTCCTGCAGTGACACAGTGACTCACTCCAGCCCCTGACAGCTGGAGAATGGGCTTTGGACTTCCATGTTCAGGCATCACTTTCCTGGGTTTCTGACAGGGGCCATAAATCTGTCTTGAGATTCCAAGAATCCCAAGATAAGAGGTAGCATTTTGTCTTTAAGTGCTACCAGTGTAAAGGTGAGTGGCATTGTGCCTTGTGTGCAGGCCCCCTGTCCCTAGAGGAGAGAGTGTTCCAAAGACCAAGCTCTCGGCCTTGCAGGATATGTAGGTGGCACTGTGCCCTCGAGGGACCGTCCCCTCTGCTCAGACTGTCTAAATAGCTAAATGAACAGCTCAGATAGACCTGGGTATAGAGCTGGACATAAATAAGGTATAAATGAAAAGTTACTCCTGATCCCTCAAGCTATTTTCTGTCTGCAGAGTGCAAAACCAGCCTTAGAACTTGTTCGGTCTCCCTCTGTTCCTGGGGAAGAGGGCAAAGAGGAGGAAAATTACAACAACCCTCCATCTGTTGCTGCACCACAGCCTGGACAACCCGAATCAGTAAGCACCAGCTTTGGTTGGCACTGTCTTTGGTGCAAGGCAGTGTTGCAAGTTTCTGACCAGACAGCACTTGCTGTTCGTGGCATGTAGATGTCACTGTGTCCTGGAGGGACCTACCCCTCTCTACAGACTAATTAGCAACAGGCACAATTAGACTACATGCTTAACTTTGCCATGACCCAGGTTGGTGAGCAGAATCCTACACTGCTCTGCAATGTAGAGAGAATGTCGGTCTCAGAAGGGGTGGAATATAGTTCAAAATGGCTGCTCCCTAAAGCTTGAATTACTGAGGTGAACTCAGCTGAACAGACCAGAAAAGGGAAATGCTTCCTGATTCTATTCAGGCGTCCCTTCAGGAGGGGAGGAGAGACACAAATCGTCGACTGATTCGGGTCGAACGGAGATGTTTTCCTCCAGAGATGGCAGTTTTTTCCCCCCAGAGGTGTTTTCCTCCTCTAGCCTTTTCCACCCCTAAAGCCCCCTTTTTATACCCTAAATTTTGGGCCTCCTAAGAGGTGGAACAATCACCCACTCTAGGTGGAGTTTGGTGACTTTTCTTATACATGCATTACACAACATGTCTTCCTTCATTTGCATCCTGAGGGTGAGTAAGCTAATAAGTTACTGGGGCTCAGTAAGGGTGAGCAACTGAGAAATGCCACACATTTCCTGTTAGCTGCCTAAGAGTTTGTTGGAGATTCAGTTACAGATGGACCGTGTTTGTACTGCCCATCTCACTTAGGAATCTGTGCCTCTCCATAGGCAGATAATGACCCAGGAGAGCAGCAGCACAGTGCTTTGGGAATGCATGAGCACATCAGACTTTGATTCTTGCCATACAAATGTTGTATGGGAAGTTTAAACCTGCTTCTCTTCATTTCTGTGCAGGTCCTGCCAGAAGAAGACCGTGGGAAGATTGCTTTGCTAGACATGCAGACTCAGGGAGAGCTGTTTCAAACCCAGCAGCAGCTAGAGCAGCAGGAGGAAGAGCAGAGAGAGAATGGGCAGGTAAACCTGACTAGCTAGGTAACAGTGAAGGGCAATAACAAGATCATAAAACATAGGTCTTGGGCCTGAGGAAGTAAGAGGGCATTGAAAGCACAGAGCCTTGTAATCTCCAGTGATCAGCACAAGGAAGGGAGGGTTACAATGGAAGCAGAGCTGCATGGAGAAACAGAGAGAAGTGGCTGAATTAATGTAATTTTGAGACTGAAATAGAAAAAAACGGAGCCTGATGGCAGGTCCCAGTAACCTTCTCTCCATTTCTGTTTACAGAACATCAAGACAAAACTGCAAGCACAGCTGCCTGAAGCTCAGAGGAAGACCAAAGCAGCTGAGGAGAGACATGAGGAAGAAACAAAAAGCATCCAAGATGAAATGAATCTATTTCAGCAGAGCGGGGATCTGCAAAACGAGATAAGGGAAACAGTGGCAGGAACTCCAGTCAAGAGACTTTCTCTCCCCCTCTGCTTACAGAACAGCAGGGAAAAGCTGCAAGCAGAACTGCAGAGAGCTTGGAGTGAGATCAAGGCCATGGGAGAAAGGCACGAGGAAGAAATGAAAAATATCCAAGAGGATGTGAATCTCCTACTGCAGCAGAAGGAGACTCTACGAAAGCTGGTGAGTGAAACAGCGGTAGCCACTCCAGTCACCAAAGAGGTGTCCTCCCATCTTCTTGCCTTTCCATTGCAGAGAAGCAGCTGATGGGGGTAATCACTCTGACTGCCTTCATGCTGTGGTCTCTCTCACAGCTGATCTGAAGGAGATTTACTGGTCCACTGATTCTTAGCTGTCACTCTGGACAGCTGGGCTCATCCTTTGGCCTTTTGTCCAGCAATAATCCCAATGGATTTCTGCTGGCCTGTTCCTGCTAGCCTTGTTTTTTGAGGTGTTTCTTCAGGTGAACATGCTGACCCACATATGGAACAAGTTGTCTGTATCCATTGGGAATCTGGTCGTCTCGTGTGCTTTCCCTTTCCTCACAGTTTATGGCTGACAGTGAGAAGCTGTAGTCTCTGACTGCTTTGTTCTGTTTAACTTGAGGTGGAAGAGTTGGCGTCTCATCTGGCAGCCCCCAGACTGTCCCAGCAAGTGATTGGCAACAAAGCTCAGCAAGGTCAGAGGAAGGGACAGGAACAGCCAAGGGAGGAGGTGCTGGAGGTTGAGCACTTACAGAAGATGATGGAGGAAAAGAAGACTCAAGATGAGGAGGTAGAACATTACAACAAGGAACTGCAACTGTGTCTGCAGCGCTTGGAGGGGGAAAAGAATTCTTGAGAGGAAGTGGAGCAGTCATTGTTGCAGTCATCTTTTAGAAAAGCTGCTAAAATAGAATATGAAACTGTCCATTAACTCATGTAGAACCAGCCTTTTGTTTTTTCCAATTCAGTTTGAGAAGTGGACATCAAAAAAAATCCAGTTTAAGAGTCCTGGATGTGGCCTACAGCATCTTCCTAAGGGCTATCATTTGAAATGTGATCTCAGGGCAATCTCTGCCAGCCACCTTTCTGACATGAACTTATCTCTTATCCCAGATCTACATAGACTCTGTCATTGAACCTACTGCTGCAATAGCATCGTCTAAAGAAGCCTCCACTCCCCAGCCTGAAAACTTGACAACGAGCAGTTGGCTCAGCTCAGACCAGGTGGAAGCTTTTCTGCAAGACATGGTAGAGGAGGCGTCCCTGAACATACTGAGTATGTCCTGTGTACTCTTTGTCTGATGGAGCAGTGTTTTGTATGCAGGTCTCAGCATGAGCTGTGCCAAATGTTCCTCCTCAGTTTAGTGTCACAGGGGCATTTAGGACTCCCTACAGAAACTGTTGTGCTTTGAGTCAGTGAGAACACTCTGAGTGTTCCTACTGCTTCTGAGGGAAGGTTGGACTGGTTTGCATTTGGCTGAGCGTCCCTCTCTGCTAAAGGCAAAAGCAGGGAAATGTTCCCAGATGAGCAGAAGGCTGTGACCCAGTGAGTGACCTAGTGGAGTCCTGTGTGCTAGTGCCCAAATTGATCAGAATATTTGGCTTCCTAAATTCACAGAAGTTGATTGGATTTGAGTTTTGTGGGTTTGTGGGCTTTTTGGTTGGTTGGTTGGGGGTTTTTTTGTTTGGTTTGGGTTTGGATTTTTTTCGTGGAGTCGGGTTTTTATTGTCCTCCATCCTGAAGGAACTCTCCTGCGCCAGGTATCTTATTGTTATTACTATCACTGTTACTTCTACAGTTTGTTTCTGTAAGAATGCTACATTTTTGTCAGTGAGAACTTCTTTGAAAGAACATCAGATGACAGCACAAATAGAGAGGAAGGGGCGTTTTCAATATGCCCCCAAAGGAAAAAGAAAGATGCTTTTATAATCCCTATTTAATTTCTTAGTTTTATGCTTATAAGGATGTATCAAAGAGACACATCTACGTGGTGTGAAAACTGCACTGCAGGCATTCCCAGGAGCGAGCCTCCAGCCCAGCCGCTATATCCTCAGATACGTGGCATTCTGTCATAGCTGATTCCCAGCCAGTTAAGACTATTAGAATCCTCAGCATTGGCCCCAACCCCTGCACAGAACAGACTCTAGGAAAACACAGCAAGCCCTTTGTGATTCTGCAGGACAACCAATTCAAGCTGCCAGTGCTGTGTTCTCAGATAATCACTGGTTGAGTTCAGAACAGAGCCCAGCTTACTCTGTGTCTGCCATCACCTGTTGAGACAAAAAGTGGATTGATCTGCACCTCCTTGTGTCTGATCTCAAAGCCAATAATGTTCTGTCTTGAATGGGGGCCACAGCTAGTAACAAGACTCAATCTGGCTGTGGCTTCTTCATAGTGGTTGTCAGGGCTCACTCAGGCTTTACTGACATTTGTCATATCTGCCCTGCCCCTGATGGCTGTTGTTCCAGCTCTTCTTAATATTTGTAGATGACAAACTTACTTGCCTTGGCACCTGTTCTCTTCTGATCTCTGCCTCCTCTGAACATATCTCTATGTGCTTAGTTTCCTGTCAAGGTAACTCTTCAAAGGACTGTATAAAAGTCAGTCTTTGTGCAGACCTTCTGTGCTGTGGAGCTGCCAGTCTTCTTGTTGTTGTTGTTGTTACCCAGCTGCTCACAAAGGGCTCAGAGCTCCAGACACTGGGGCTGCATTTCAGACCTCCTGAAAGGCAGCATCTCAATTTTAAAGTGAGCATCTTGCATTTTGTTTCTTTCAGGAAGAATGGTGAGCGTGGGTGATCCTTTGCAGAAATACATTGAACTGGAAAACATTGGCAGTGGGTGAGTCCAACCACAGTTACTTCTACAAAACCATGGGCCAGGTATTTTGCTAGTGTAATATCTATCAAGTGTGAAGTCAGGCAAGCTGCAAACATGTTCAGATTGTCCCATCTCTCAGTACTAGTCAGAATTTAAACCTGTGGTCACGAGGCATTGTCAAAGTCATCATGATGCTGGCAGTGTCTTGCCTGCAACAAGGAGCAGGCAGATGATCTCCTATCCCTCAAGTGTATGGCATGTCTTATTTTCTTAGCAGTAATCATTTTTGTATGTCTCAATACGGCAACGCTTATGAAAGAAGAAACTTTATTGCCTAAAAGAGCAACTTACCACCTGATAGCTGTCAGATAACAGTTCTCAGTAACATTTCTTTCCAATATTTTGTTGAAGGAAATATTTGGTGCTCAGGATTATAACCACATAGAAACTGAAACCAGAATAAGCTCTCTTATTTAGCCAAGGCAGTAAAACCCAAAACTTCATGAATAGACCTGGTGTTGATGCACTTGAGAGGAAAATCATCTGCCTGATGACAGATCCCTTGTGGATCCTGCAGCTTTTAGGCATTTACGGCAGAGATTTCCTGTCTGGGCTGGCTTTCACTCCAAGGCCTAAACTGCTTCTCCTTTCTTCTAGGGCTTTTGGAGCTGTTTGTAAAGCACTTGACACTGCCACTGGAGGACAGGTAAAAGTGTCAACACCCCCGCAGATTCTGCAGCTCTCAAATGCTTTCCCCTCTGGTGTGAGCTGTGGCTGGAGCTTTGGGTCACCAGTAGATCTTTACTGCAAAGGCAAGAGAAGTGCAGACTAGTGTCAGCCTGGAAAAGGCATTTGAGACAGACTTAGTCCTTTTCAGCTATCAGAAAGAACAGTATCTTTCAGAGAAGGACGCCCTAGCTTGGTCTTAATGGCTAAATATGCATCAACGAGGTGATGGCGACTGCCATCATCCAGGCCCAATTTCTCTGAATCGCAGGTTCAGACACAGATAGGATTTAGCTTTTTTCTTTCATCGTGTCTTTCATCTCTAAAGCACAATGCAAGACCTAATGAAGGAGAGCTCATGCTTGGGCTTTGTATTTCAGTCCTAGAGAAGCTGGTTCACACACACACACACAGAGATCACCGAGAAGACGTTTATTGAGAGCAACAGTTTCTCCTAAGCAGTACCACCCTGTTTAGGTCCATTGTCAGTGGCAGCCCATTACAGGGATCCTCATAATAAGATCAGACAAGGTGGTGTCTTAGACAGTCTCACTGCTCTTTGCGACTACAGCTTCAGATTCCTGAATTCTCGTTCCTGGCTGTCAGCAAATACATCTGAATCTTACTGATAGTTCCTTATCCACCTGCAGTGTTGCACCTTGGAACTGCGCTTGAGAGAGGTCTGCAAGGGGTCTTAAAAGCCGTAAGCCCTGCTTATAGCCCAGGGCTTATCCATGGAGTACCAATGCATGTATTCTTTTTAAGCCCACACAACAATTGCAAATGTAAAGTGTGTTGAGGAATTTTCTTTAGAGTAGCAAAATAAAAATTCATGAAGTGTGGCAGTGCTAGAATTTTATTTTTGGGGGTAACATTAATGGTCTTTTTTAGATGGCATTTTACCCACAGCGTATGTGTTTGCTTTGTTGCGCAATCCAGAATAGCAGCAGTTGCTGAAATAATGATCAAACCGCACAGAGCTGCCAGAGGATTTCCAGCTATTTTGATATATTTTCACAGGAACAAATTCACTTCCTGCTTGCAAAACGTGTGAATGACAATAGTGTTGATAAACTAAGTCCATTTGAGAAGAATGTGTGTACAGAGAGTGTGGTCAGAGCTTCGTGGCTGATAGCTGAGAGACCATTTTTACCAAGTTGACAAGGCAGAACATCCATGGCCACATGTCCTCAACTGACACCCAAGCAGGTGGAGAAATAGGCATTGTAATGTCAGTTCCCAATTACTGTGATGTCTAATCACAAGGCAGTTTGACAGAGCTCGGCTGTGTCATTCCAAAATCACTTCACTGCATGTTGGTTGTGGTCTCATGCCACTGACTTCTTAAGTTTATGATTTTCAATGTCATTTTAGGTGGCCATAAAGAAAATCAGTCTTCAAGAAACCAGCAAGGAACTAACTCTTAATGAAATCGAGGTCATGAGGACAAATAGGAATTCCAACATTGTTAACTATTTGGACAGGTGACCGGTTCTGAATGTTTGTTTACATACTGCAAGCATCCAAGGTTAAAAAAACGCTTTGGTTACTGGCAGAAAATTGAGCTGTCAATTATTAATTAATTATTATTTATCTACTCATCTCCAACAGATGGGAGGAGATTGCATTTTGTCTGCATTAATCATTTTTGGCACACATAGTTCAAGAAGTTGGATCAGCCTTTTCTCACTAAATCAATAGCTGCCTCCAACTGTTTTGCAGTTTTAGACTTTGATTTTTTTCAAGGGTCTTAAGTGCTGATAAACCATCACAGAAATTATTTCTCTGGGGCTTTTCTCACTCTTTTCCGTTGCTGTGGGTGCCAGGAAGACTAGATGCTTGTCTCCAGAAAGAGAGTGTGGCAGTTCTTTTATCTTGTTTGTTACTAAACTGCCTTTTATCCTTGCTGGCCCTCTAAGACATCTCCTTTTTCACAGATGTGCTTTTCTGATTTAGACTGCACAGATTACAAGCACTGTACAGCCTAGGCAGAATGTCTATTCATTTTATTCTGTCTTTGTTTAAAAGGGACCTGGAAACAAAAATCAACTGTCACCTTTTCCGTAAGGCAGTTTAGCTGTACACAGTCATCTCCATGCCCTTGTTGTGTTCTTTCAGCTACATTGTGGAGGAGGAACTCTGGCTGGTCATGGAGTACGTGGATGGAGGCACTTTATATGATGTTATCAGTGAGACATGCATGTCTGAAGGACAGATGGCAGCTGTCAGTCGGGAGGTAAGGGATCCTGCTTGGGCTTCCGATGGCTTGGACAGGACTGTCCTGCTAAACAGGTGGTAAGAACAGGAGTGATTTTCATGTTCGGAGCTTTGTTTCTGTGTTGCTGCTATGATGTGGAAGAGAAAGAGCAACTGAAGTGAACTGCCTGCCAGTGTCCCTGCCCTCACTCTACTCTGTTCTTATAGTCTTACATGTTGTTGTGGTATTCTCTCTCTTTTTTATTTTTATTTGCTCCTCTCCACTTTACCTCTGCAACATTTGCATGAAGCCTGTCTGCACTGCATTCCTTGCCTGTAAAAGCAAACATGCTGGTGGCAGAATTTTAAACTAAGGGCAAAGAGAAATAGAGACTCACTTCTCACAGTCCTCAGCTTAAAAAGATAGCATTGCAACCAAAGTGGTGTTTGCTTCTGGAAACTGACTAATGTGCTATTTCCAAGTCTGCTGTGGAGGCCAGCAATAAAATCTTTGTCATGCAGCCTCCCACCCAAAAGTGATCCACTTCATAGCAGAGGGAGGAACTTAAACCCTTGTTTATCTGGATGGGAGAGCACATCCATTGCGGCAGCAGTCATTCTGGCTGAGTTTGCCTTGAACAACAATTAACATTTCTCTTTCGAAAGCTGATATGCCTTCACTTAGAAAGCTGCTCCTCTACTGGTGTTGGATCAGCAAGCTCTTCCTCTTGATAGCACCGTGTTCGGCCATTACTCACCCTTCTCCTGGAAAGGAAATCTTTTAGAGTAGTTTTCTTCCTTGTGTGATGAAACCAGATCACTAATTTTTACCCGTCTGTTTCTCTTTTCTCTCTCAGTGCCTGCAAGGACTATATTTCCTTCACTCAAATGGGGTGATCCACAGAGACATAAAAAGTTCAAACATTCTCATCAGAACAGACGGATCTGTCAAGTTGGGTGGGTATCCTTGGTCAGGTGAAGCATTCCAGGGATGTGGGGCATGGGGCTGCTTTTGAATGACTGCCAGTTCCCCAAAAGTGGTGCTTGTGGGAGTGCATGGACTCCTGCTGCAGCCTGAGAGCACAGGCGCACTTTGCAAGGTGTCAAGAGTGATGTTGGCTTGTGTATGCCCCTTCCAGAGGGAGGGAGTTACAATCTAAAACTTCTGGTGAATAAAAGACACTGCTGGGGGCAGTTTAAGAAATGTGGCAGTTTTTGAAGTGGCCAATTCCATAGTTCCTTGGCTACAACCCTGAGGAAACAGAACATGGTGTGCTTTCCAGATAGATTCAACATGGCATTCTCACACTTAGAGTGGGGAAGTCTTTTGTTTGTTTTCCTAATTTGAGCAGGCTTTCACAGTATTTGTTTTTCTCCTCAGCTGATTTTGGCCTCTCTGCTCAGCTCAGCCTTGATCAGAGTTATCGGAACTCAGTGATTGGGACTTCTTGGTGGATGGCACCAGAAGTTGTGATAAGCAAACCATACGGTCCCAAAGTGGATATATGGTCATTTGGCATCGTGGGACTGGAAATGGTGGAAGGAGAAGTTCCTTACCAGAATGAAACATCTGTTCTGGTAAGGTGCAAATACTTAATGATACTAATGTCTTTTCTCATCTGTCCCATGTTCTGTCTGCCATAAGACAAAGTCTCATTCCCACCACCTTGAACTAGTTCCACCAAGACCCACTTCTAAAAATGTCCTTGGAGCACATCAGCAGCTGCTGTAGTTTTGGTTATGTCAATGGGGGAACCTCAGAAGAGAAGTGGCCTATAGCCATTTTGGCCTTCAGTGATGCTTGACATTTCTCATGTGCTTTTTGAACTCACTTTGAGCTCTGCCTCCTAATGATAAGAATTTTTCAGTGAAGAGTTCAGCAGTGTCATCATTATCCTCTGAAATGCAGGTTGAACCTTCCCAGTTTCAGTTTTAAAAGAAAAAGAAACAACCAGCAAAGCAAACAACCAAGCAGTTCTGCTTGCTTTTTCCTTTATTAACTACGCCACATCAATTTTCCTCAAAACTGTAGCATCTTTTCCAAATCCTATGGATCTGTAAAATTTCACACTTCTAAACCATGTGTATATTGTTGTGTCATGTGTCTGGTTGGCCTGGATAAATTAAGGACCTCGTTTTCACAGACTGCAGCTGGAATTGTATGCCTTAGCTGTTTCTTGGTATGTTATACAAATTGATGAGCTTATTGCCCCTTTGCAGCTTCTGCAAATACTGATTTCAAGCCTTACCACAGGCAAAGACTCCCCATTCTCAGGCAACACTTTGCCTTGGGTCTTAAGTTGTTCCAGCTCTTCTGTCTGTGAAGATGACCCTGAAAACATGACACAAGCGTATCAGAACTAGTCTTATCTTTCCAGAAAAGAAGAAAAGAAACCCAAACCCAGCGACGTTTCTAAAATAGTGGTTTTGAAAGATGAACTGCATTCCCTTTCTTCTCACTGGAAAGCTTGCCTAAAACTGGAAGATGATGGAGTAAAGGCCATATAGTCTGTTCTGCTTCTTGTCTAGTTTTGCTGAAACACTTGGTGACCATTTCTTTCATAGTCCAAGCCTGCCAAAACCTCCTGTTTGTTGCCTGTCAGTTTCTGGGATGGGCACGCCATTAATTGAGTATCCAAATGAGCAGAGGGTTACCATAGGAATGGAATTACTCCTTTTTCTGATTAGACTGTGGAAAGTTTTTCTATTACTTCATAAGTGAAGCTGATCTGGAATTTGGAGACTGCTGAGAGACACAGTTGCAGGTGGCTCCTATCTGCCCAAATGGGCATCTTCATCACAATACCTTTGTGCAGGCAGCGTAACATTTCTGTGTTGAACATCAGGTTCCAAACATTTGTTTCTTTACGCAAGGAATCACTGATGTATTTCCTTGTTTTTCCTCCAGTTACTTTTTTTTATCAAGAACAGAACAAAAAAAATGATGATTTTTGTTTTATGGTAGCTTAAGGGACCAGGGAGCAGTGCAGAGATGTGGAGCATAAACAATGGGGTCTGGGAGAGCAGTTGGGGATATGAAAGAAACAGGCAGAATTTTCCTGTTTCCTTTTTCTCTAGGCTCAGTACTTGATAGCCACCGGAGGGGCACCCAAGCTGAAGAACCCCAAGCAAGTTTCCGCTTGGCTGCGTGACTTTCTGACCTGCTGCTTGGAGACAGACCAGGACAGGCGCTGGTCTGCCGAGGAACTCCTGCAGGTAATGTGCAGAGCGACTGCAGGCGGAATGGCTGCCCGAGGGATGCGTCCCTCATTAATTAAACTCCAAAGTATCATGGGTCCCTCTCATATTGATCTCCCATCTTAGTGTTTTTCAAATGAGAACTGTGAGGAATCCTAGACTGGTTTGGGTTGGAAGGGACCTGTAAAGGCCATATAGTCCAAGTGCCCTGCAATGAGCAGGGATGTCCTCAAGTAGATCAGGTTGCTCAGAGCCCTGTCTTACCTGACCTTGAACATTTCCAGGGATGGGGCACCTACCAGCTCTCTGGGCAACCTGTGCTGGTGTTTCACCACACTTGTAGTAAACCATTTCTTCCTTAGACCTAATCTGAACTGACACTCTTTTAATTCAAAAATATTACTCCATGTCCTATTGCAACTGTCCTGCTGAAAAATGTGTCCCCAACTTCCTTATAAGCCTCCTTGAACTATTGAAAGGGGGCAATAAGGTCTCCCCAGGGCCTTCTCTTCTCCAGGCTGAACAAGACCAATTCTCCCAGCCTTTCCTCAGAGGAGAGATTTTCTACCCTCTGATCATTTCTGTGGCCGTCTTTTGTACTTTGGGTTTTACCTGGTGGCAAAAGGGTTGAAGTAGAATGGTGCTGTGTACAGAGGCTTGAAATGGTGGTGGAGGAACCCAATGAAACCAGTCCCAGTCAAATGGGATTTGTTGATTTAGCTGTGGGAAGGAACACACTGTGGAAAGCTCACTGAGAGCCTCAGAGGGGCCCTGGTTTGTCCCTCCTGGCACATTCTCAGACGTTTCTGCCACCCAAACAGAGACAGCTGAGCAGGACTTGTCCTATCCCCAGTTGCTGCCTGGCACAGTCAAGCAGATGAGAACTGCTACAGGGTTACTGCCAGGTTTTGTGGCAGATCAGGAGCTGCAGGACATGACAGTGGGCTGTCCCTGCTGGGAAGGAACGTGCCAGGCAGCACAGGAGGGGCAGGGGATGGAAAGGCAGACACTGCTCTCTCTCTGAAAATTAGCACAGCTCATGTCTTTAAAAAAGAGGAACCTGTAGGAGCCTTTGCAGTTTCCTGAAAGGACAAACCCTTGGGACAGAAAGCAGCATTCCTAGAGTCTCAGCAGGGCAAAAATCCCAGCAAGCTGAAGACAGCTGGATAAATTGATGAGTGGGCCTGTGATGGCAGGTCCTACCTCACCATGAAGATGGAGGTGCAAATAGGCCCCTCAGTTGTATTTCTGCATCTTTCTGGGAACCAGAGGAGTCCTGCTTGAGTCTGTGAGTTTCGAAAGTCATGGTTCACTGCTTTTTTGTGTTTTTTTTTTTTCTTTTGGGCAGCATCCATTTGTAGAATCAGCCAAGCCCGCCTCCAGCCTCGTGCCGCTTATCACTGCAGTGAAGAAGTGGAAGGAAGAGACAAGACTCCAACAACCAGTCGAGGACCATTTTCTTCAGTGGCAGCTCTAGGCAGGACTCAGAATAAAAACTCCACGAAATCTCAACTCATTTGGAAGATTCTCTTCGTTTTCATCTTGTGAATAATGTGAATTCACATTACTTGTGAATTGTCAGTTGTTTCTTATAGGTGGAAAGTCACATTTATTGGTTCTTTCATGTGGTATGGAACTGGAAAGGGTCTTCTTCCTTCATCAGCTCCACATTGCACTGCCTTTGGAATACTGCTTTTAAAAATCTGCCTGCTGTTCTGTTCCCTTGTCCCTGAGGGTACTTTTCCAGGGGGTCCTGGGGAAGGGGAGGGGTCCAGAGTAAATCCTTGAAGAGCTGAAATTTTGCTTTCCTAAAGTTCAGGGTCATGAATTTACTCTTCACCTGACCCATATCCCTCAGGACTGTGAACTGCTCCAGAGCGGGATCACTGCAGCTCAGGCTGCCTCCAGCCTTGGCATCCCTTGACTAGCTCACTGTGTTGGTGACCAACCAACACAGTATTGATCCAGTATTGCATCTCCTCTGGCTGGTTTATTACCTGGCCTGAGAAGTTATCCCCCATGCATTCCAGGAGTCTCCTGGATTGCCTACAGTTTGCTGTGCTACTTTCCCAGCAGATACTGGGGTGGTTGAAGCCCCCCATCAAGCCTGCAAGCACAATGCCTCCTGCAGCTGGAGCAGGAAGGTGTCATCAAAAGGTTCCCCTTGGTTAGGTAGCCTGGAATACACACTGACCATGAGGTTCCCTTTGTTGCCTCAGTCTCTGATTCTTACCCACAGGCTTTGACCTCCTTGTGGCTTTTCTTCAGAGACAGCTCTTCACGCTGTATCCAACACTTAACATCTCTGCTTTGTTTATGACTATATGTGAGGTGACCAACCTCATCAAGCAATGGACCAATGTTATCTCTGATCCTCCTGCTGCTGCCTTTTGCCATGGGTGTATTTAAAAAAGCTCTTTTTATTGTCCCCTGCAAGTACTGCCCAGCTTCAGCTCCAGTTGAGCTTTGGCCCCACAAATTTTCTCCCTACAGTGGAAAACACAGTCTCTGTAGTCTTCCTGTGTTGCCTCGCCATGCTTCCAACGTCCATATACATTCCATTTCCATCCAAGCTAAGTAAGTCCAGCCAGCCTTCCATTTGACATCTGGCACACTGGAATTGCCAGCTCCTGTGCTCTTAAGAAATGGCTCTTAAGTTCATAGCTGAAGCAGAGAAAAACTAAGTTGGTCTAGAAAAATACTGCAGCTACCATCTAGGGAAACAGGAACAGCAAGGAGCAAAAGTCCTTACAGAGAAGCCTGCTGTCTACATTTCAACTGAGCAAGGAGTTTCATTTTCCATGTGCTGAGAGACCAAGAGCTAAGAAGCAACCTTAAACTATTTTTAAACACAGTATTTCAGTAAGAGGCACTTCACAAACATTCTCTAGAAAGCTCCTGACAAGCAATGCAGAAAAATAGCTCACTTAGAGCCTGGGAAGTGAGAAGCAAGTTAAACACTTTAGCAAGTTATAAAAGATCACGGAGAGAAGCCACCCCAGGGCTGGGAGCTGGATCCTAAGCCCAGTCCTGAGCTGACCTTTTTGCTTAGAAAATCCATTTTCATATCCATCATTTCTTGCAGGTAAATAGTGTTCCACAGCAGTAATGCCTACATAAGAAAATTATTATCTAAAGCCTTTAATAGCTAACATATCCTGGTTGCCTGGTCTGATAGTCTGCTTTCCACTGCAGATTAAAAAAAAGGTATGTTGGATATAGAGCAGCAGGCTACTATAGAATTTACTTAGCATAATTTCCTGCTTTTTGTAGGGATAGGCCACTTCATTTGCAACTGCCAATACCACTAGGATTTGGTTTAGATCAGTCTTCAGTGGAGCTCATGTGCTAGCCAACCACCACCTACATTCACTCTGAAGCATCTTCAGAGCCCTGTTTTTCCTGACACCAGTGCTTATATTCCTTCAAGGTGAATGCTTCTCTCTATCACTCCTACTCATCTGGTGTCTCACCAGTGATACTACAAATAATTCAAACACTTTAAGACGTGTGCAGAGTTCAAGACACTTCTCACCTTAAAAAAAAGTTGAACTGGTGTTCACAGGCACATAACACAGCTTACTTCGCCCTTCCACTCTTCTACCTTACACAGAGTGGTGTGACCTTTTAGCCCATGGATACTTCCTGTAACTCTTGGGTCACATTTACAGGACAGCACCTGTTGGTTTGATTCATTATTGTGTGGAGCAATATTGATTAAAACAAACCTCAGGAGATAGGAGCTTCACCGCTTACTGGTACTGTGCCTGAGAAGTTAACAGCTCCCTTTTCCAGCTACATTTCCTTTTCTAAGGGTGTTTTAAAACAGGGTGCCTGTGATCTCTGACTTCAACCAAAATTGCCCTGACTTTGAAATGAGAACTGGCACATTCCCACCAAGTTTCAAGTCTGACAAAGGCATGCTTTCTGCAGTTTTTGAACTTGGGTACTGGGAAGCAACACAGCAGACTCTCTAAACACCTTGGTAAAGACACCATGGTGTGGCTTTTAATCACTTTCTGACCCCATCTAGCTTCACTGCTCTAAAGAAGAGTGAGAGCAGAACCAAGTAGCCTTACCTAAGCCTCGGACTGAAGAGCAATATGAATGTGGCTACTGCAGCCCTCTGATGAGCAATCTGGGCCATAGTCCTTCACAACAAATTTTCTCAGTGCCTCTGAAGACTCAGTGAAATTCACACGTGAAATCTACACGTGACCAGTTCCAGCCAACCTGGGTAGGCAGCCAGAAAAATAAGCTAGGACAAAACAAAGGGCCTCTTGGAAACTTCACAGCCTGTTCGTAAGGTGTCCTGTGGCCCTTCTTCTCTGTCTCCCCTAGACTGGTACTTCTGATCCAATCCCTGCCCTAGAATAAAAGGTACATCCCTCTTTCATATAAAAGCTGTGGATAGAGCACCATAATTCTCTTACAGCAATGACACCTCATTTTGTATGGATTTAGGGTGTGTTAGAACTCAGCAGTGGCCAAGCCACTGAAACGCTGCCCTTGCTGAGTCACAAGACAGATTCCTTCATTACTAACTGCACTTAAACTAATACAGAAACCACGAGTAGCAAAAGAGTTCCTTAGTCTGAAAGGAGACATGAAAACAATCAAAAAGGGAAGGTTTGTGCCCTTATTTTGACAGGATACACTATGAAAGTCACAGCAAGCTTATCGGTCCACAGAGTCTGCACCCTTTCCTGCACAGCTTGCTTTCAAGATTTATCAAAATGTGTTCCAAGAGCAGAAGATATTAAATCTCTTTTTCATGTGTCACACGATCTCAGTTTCTGCCCAGTGTCCAGAATATCCTCATACAAGAGCAATTTTGGCAATTGTGTTTTGTTCCCTATTCCTTGATCTTATTTGATTCCTGCCAGGCTTCATCAGACATTCCCTATGGATAAAGCAAAGCAGTGCATTATTTAAGACGCTTGGGCTACAGCCTTTGCTCATACCCCAACAGTACCAAATGCAGCGTGACCACTCGCAACAGCAAACTTACAAGACCAGGCTGTGAATCTCAAAGCTGTGCACTATTCAACACACGGCAAAAAGTAATAATTTCACACTCACCTGGTATTGTATCAGCTTTAAAACTCTTTCTGGGCTAGACACAAATAAAATACAGCCTCTTTTTCAGATCACCTGATTCAATTACCTGCCATGCTTTTTAGTATTTTCAGGAATCTTTTTATTTTCTAATGTGATACAAGGTATTCCCTCCATAACACTGTTTATGTTCCCTTACTCCTTACTCCAGTTTCCATGGACAATGGTCTACCTTGCAAGAACTTCCATTTACTCTAGAGTAAATCACTCCTGGCTGATCACCTCCAAACTGGGATCTTTACTGTTGCTGAGAAGATGGTGATGGGCCATTTCTCCCATTTGTTGTCATCGATACAAGGATTCTGCTAGATTGCCTGCTGTTGCTGCCCTGTTATTACTCAGACAGATTCGACTCCTTACCCTTCATCCTGCTTTAGTTTTCACTTCATGTATAATCACACTCAGGAGAGGCTCAGAAGCAGGAAAAGCTCCTGTTTTAACCTAAGAATGACCACGAACACAGTGCTGACAGTGAGCAGACCAAATCTGTATCAGCCTTGCAATACAGTGTATTAACAAGTAAGGAGAAGCCAAATAAACCAAGACATTAATGGTATGGAAGAAAAAGAAACACACTGAAAGAAAGCATGAAGACTACAATAAACGATCAAGAAAGTTGTACTGTACTTATTTTTTATTTTTTTTAAAGAAATCTTCTAACAGTGCTAAGTTAGTGAACAATTAAGAGTACCATTTGGCTGCAGGCCTCTGAAAGACTGTTTCAGCTGGTGACAGTGTGAGTCACCTCTTTCTGGTGACAAATAACTGAAACTGGAAACATCACTGGACCTATCCAATCTCAAAAGTCTCATGCTCCTTTCCCTTCTCTATTTAAATTTAAATTAATTCAATTAAAATAATTTATATTAATGTTTTAAAATAATTAAATAAAAATAAATTAAAAATTAACATTCTCCTGCTGCCTAGTTGTTTATATGAATATATCCTGCTCTCCCTCACTGTGCATACAGAAGTTCAACAAACACTTATGGAACTTTCCAATGTATTTGAAGATATCTATTCTCACAGTATGGTTTTTTTAAGCAAGCTGCAAAATTGATTAACATTACACTGTCATACATTTTCCTGGGTTGAGAAAACTTTAACTGTAACCTGCATACTTGGACTGTCTGCTGTGCTATTTTAAACCCACAAATAACCTTTATGTAGTCCATTGTTTCAAACTTTGTTTTGAACTTAACCATGTCTTTAACTATCAACTGCACACTACTGTAAAAAAAAATTTAGTCAAAAACAGGCTGGTGAATAGTATTATCACATTTTTTAAGACAAGGAAACACTGAAATCAAACAATTCTCTCTTATTTTTCCACTTCTAGCTTCAGGAGCTTGTTGTGCCACCTTCTTCCTCACCTTTGTACTGTAGACACATTGCTTGTTCTAGTGGTTAGGACTGATGTTTCAACAACCTAAACCAGCTGAAAAAATCAAAAGGAACAGAATATTTAGTAATAAGTGCATCTGTTTTTCTATAAGCTACAAAGGAAACATAGTACTGTAAAACAACACTGTATGTTGACAGCTTTTCCTCTACCACAAAACCAGCAAGCAACACATGAAATAACCACCTCCATCACATTACTTGACATGATCAGTCATTTTTTTTCCTGCCAAAGGAATACGGTCCCAAAGCTGCAGCAACTGCTCCCCAACTTGTGGTTCCAGCTCCTAGAAATGAACAGGAAATTAGAGAAGTTACTTGCACTGCTAGTACTGAACACACAGAAACTATTTACAACAAAATTATTATATGAGGTTGCTGGTGATTGCTTTCAGCCTCCGTTTTGCTATCAGGACATAAATCAGAACTCCCGGCACAGCAGGGTTTTTTTACTAGGGCTCAGCAGAGATAGAAACGTTCATCCACACTGCCTTACAGGCTGTCTGGGGTGGTTTTTTTCCACAGTAAGATGTCAGTTCTCACACACAGAATTCCCAGCGAACACACCACTGCCACATACAGGAACTGATGCACCATATACTTTGTATCTTCCATAGGTCACTCACTAACTAACTAAAGATCTTTTTTCCCATATCATTTAAGTTTAATTCCATCAAGTGTGGTGGAGAATGTGGAAAGGCAGGTCACAGGAAATACAGTGGCTCTTGGTGGAATCATAGACATTAATATAACAATTTTAACATTGTTGAGACTCTTTAGGTCTTAAGAGCCACTTACAAGAGAAGCCCAGTCAACTCCAACATGTGCTACATTTACATTCCTTTCCTTGTTCTTACAGTATTCTCCTTTCTTTACAACTGGAGAGGTTTTGGAGAAGTAGTGGGAAGACGATACAAAAAGTTTAGCTCCTGAATCGTCGAGATGTTTTGGGAAGAGTCAGGGAGAACACAGAAACTGCCACAGAGAACTCTTGCGTCAATTCTTTGGCTTTTTGTAGTTGCATTTAGCTTTAACAAATTGGAGAACTGTCATGAGCTTTATTCTGCCTCAGAACTCTAGATTCTCTTCAAGCTTTACAGAAAATTCCAAGCTATGAATTATGTGTGACAGACTATCTTGGGGAATGCATCAAAGAGGGCACAAACCTCCAGAACCAAAATTACCAACTAAAAAACCCAAACAACTTCTTTTTGGAAACATTCAGCTTTAAATCTTTTCTTTTTAAACACGTATTAAGCAAGAAACTGTTTTCATTTTATAAGAACATCTTCACTACCTCAGTAGTAGTTCTGCATTAGCAGAAGGTACAATGCACACCAATGAACTGTGATTCAGATTAACACATAGTGAGCACAGCTGAGATAAATGTCAAGGCTGAACAAGCTAATAAACAATACACAGTTCTACCAAGTACAGATTTTAGAAGAGATTAACATTACCTGGCCATCTCTGCTTATTTGTACTTTCTTACTGTCGTTCCAAGGGTTGAGCAAATGGTGTGCAAACTGAAAAGGAATGCTTTCTTTTCTGATCCACTCCACCTTAAAAACGCCTCCAAAACCAGCAGATCCCCAATCCTGACTTTTCTCACACCCAATTGCTGAACCCATTCTAGCAAAACCCTGCAACAAAAATTGAAGTGTGAAAGAACAGACATAATGAATTCAACAAATTACTGAACTTCACGTGCAACTTTCAAATTAGTTTCATAGTGATTCACATGCTCTCCCTCCATGAAGCTGGGTCTTCTAAAATGTTTACATCCACAAAGTTAGAAGTATCATTTCTTTTTCCACTTCAAATATGCCTTCTAGAATTTGACTACAAAGAATGTCTCTTAATTAATTTCTCACCATTACCTTCAAAGGTTTTTAAGCTTCGTAACAGAGACTGAAAAGGTGTTGCAAAATCATTTGAGCACAAGGAACCCAGACGAATGTTCTACTACGGAACAGTCTATAGCAAGCTATTCCTTGTTATTTGTATTTTTTGCAGAAATCCATTTGTTCCTTCACATATTCCCTCTACATTAACAATGTTTGCATAGAATTGAAAGAGTGTAGCTGTTCTTCAAAGAAAGAAGTCGAGGTTGTTTTGATTTCCTTCTTCAATGAAGCAGAACAAAATTCCAAGACAAGTATTCAAAAAGAAAATGAAAGAAATCCTAATCCAAGACTGCACCTAACTTATTTAAGGACACTTTTAAGTAACTTTTAAGAACAGTCTATATATGAGGAAGTAAGCTGAACTTTCTTCACTTGGAACACCTGAGTTTGGCTGGCTCCACAACACAGCTAACCTGCAACTTTGCATTACCAGGCCAAGTCTTTAACTTGAAACTGGACACAGATTTGACGAGAAGTTATTGACAAATAACTCACTAAACCTGAAGTAAAGACACAGCTGTGGAACAATCATGGCTGGCTTCCTAACTTTTACAAACAACACTTCAGGCAAAACCAGATTTTAAAATTTGTAATAAAGGTATTTGTGAGTTTCCTGGCTTTAGAAAGGTATGACTTGACTGTAACTGCTTGTTCATTCACAATATTTATTTTGGTATGCAAAGAGTAACAATTCCCTGTTCATAACATTTTTTTAAGGTTTTTTTTTTCTTTTTGTTGTTTTAAAAGATTAGTGGGTATAAACATTATTCTGACTCATGATGCTTGGAGGCAATTCAGTCTTAGCCTTTGAGGGACAAACTGAGTTAATTAAAAAGGCATATTTCAGAGAAGAAAGAAATACTTCTTCAGCAACCAGAGAGATCTGCCTGCTGCTCTACTTAACAGAAGGTCAGATGGAAGTCATAAGCAAAGCCCTCCACACTACACTCAGTCATTTGCTGCACTCTCCCAAACCGTCAACCACAGCTAATATCTAGTATTACCTTAGGACTCACCTGAAAGCATCCAGACCCTTGAACAGAAAATATTAAGTAAACCACGTTGCTTTCCCAAAAGGCTCCGTTCAGTTTTCGTTCATTACTTGGCGTAGTGGACCATATACCCTTCTGTTGAGAAATATCAATGTTTTGCAAGTTGCTACTTTTCATTATAAAGTAGCGAACCGGCATATTTTGTCTTGGTGAAGGAGATTTTGAACCCTGGAAAAATTACATTAAATTAATACAATAAAATAAACCAGGCTTTAGTTCTAAAGTTTTACACATATGAAGACAGAATCCCTTGACTGTGCTGCTCCCCTAGATTCTACAAGAGACATAGGATCTATCAGCTGGTTCTGTCTGAATTGGCTTCAAAATGTATTTCACATCTGTCAATTTTTTAAGCACTTTTCAAAATAATAATTCAACCATGAGGGGCAGAAACAAGAAGAGCAGGACAAGCCTAAATAGTCTAGTGATTAATTACAACTTATCGAGTCGGACATGCCTTCAGATGACACAAAATTAACCATCCTAGACTGCAGCCTACAGAACACTACTTGAATTTCTACCTTCAAGAAACATGCTTTCACCCCTTTACACTGGCTGCATTTAAAAGCTGAAAGACTTTAAAGGAATTATTAAATCCTCCAAGAGTCCATGGAGTTTCCTCTCAATGATCTATTTAATAATACTGCAGATTACTATTCAAGTATACAGGGAGAATTACGGCAATAACCTCACTAAAAATATGTTCTTTGTTAAAATAAGGATCATTAAAAAAACCCATGCATTCCTAATGAGGCAGATAACACAAAGCTTAAAGAGAATCAGTATTATGCTATTACATAATTATATATTATTATCAGTATTATGCTATTACATAAACAAAGGAAGGCAGAATCTGAAAACTTCAGAAATGCATGTACAATATACTAATTTAGATGGAAAAAAATATACTCTCACTGCTTATTAGTACAAGTTTTTAAAAAATAATCTGATTTTTTTCTACTTTGGATAGCTTTATCTAAGCAGTCTGCAAAGAGTAATATTTTTACTGTATTAAACTAGTGTAACAAGGATATTTAGTCTAGATTTTAAGTTCCAGAAGGAACTATTATGCAGCTGTCATAAATTAAAAGCTAAGTTAGGTTCTTAATTAATCAATAAAATACCTGATAGCTGCAGAAATATATCAGAAAGAAATTCTATTAGTTTTGAAGAGCAGGGTAATATGTTCATGAGAACTCTACCTTTCCAGATATTGGAGAGGAAGGACTAGCACAAGGGCTGGGATAGCTGCTGCTGTCTGCAGGCTTCACTGATGACTGAGATGACCTGTCGTCTGAAGATCGTTTGGAGTGCAAAATATCTTTCTCTTTGTACTTCTTTGGCTGGTGAACTGTGGGAGGTGTAGGTTTCACTGAAACTCTAAAAAGTAAATGTAGATACAGGGCATACCATGAGATTCACAAGCAGTCCTAGAACAATTTATATCTACATATCAGCCCTCTGCATGACCACACATACCACAGTAATTCCAAAACACATTAAACAGTAACTAAAAAACCCATACTGATCATGCATTGTTTTTGAATGCTACAGTTAAACCTCTTCTGCTACTTCTCAAAGATGGATTCATGGATGCTATTCCTGACTGCTCTCTCAAACAGCAGGCACATGTATGTGAAATAATTCTCAATGAAAAATCACAACTACAACACAGCACAGGACAGTGTCAAACCTTTCAACTGTATTTCTACTGTTTTTACCTTCCTATTACTAGTAGAATTCAAGTGGTGCTTTTATAAATAAACACATTGCAACCTACAGTCTATAGAAAACCTCAACATCTTACTTTTCAGCATTAGAGGAGTCAGAGAATTCAGTTTCTGCTGAGCCTTTTCTGATGTTGGTTGACCTCCATGCAGATGCCAAAGGAAGCTCTTCACAAGTCACAGGCCTTGGTCTCTGACCAATTCCTGAAGGCTGCTGCAAACCTGCAGACTGTTCCTCAGCACTTAAAACAGCTGTAATTGCTCTTACAGTTGTTTCATCAACTTGAGACCACGGTTTAGAAGGAGCTCGCATGCGACGCAGGAATAAGCTGTGCCACTTCTGTCTGAGTTGCAAGAGCATTCCAGCAGCCTGCAAGGAATGCCAATTCTGTTAGAGACTAATAAAAGTTAGATCAGACAGGTAAGGGAACCCTATGTCCTTCCTATCAGGTAGCACCTGGCATTCTAATGGGAACAAACTGAAAGGCATGACTGAGGTCTCGGGGAAGGGGGGTAACCTCACATTTAAACTAACCTGTTAAGCTGCTTTTCTTTCCTAGGATGAAAGGTGATTTTTGAAAAATTCATTTAGCTCTGTACTAAACTTAACACTGTATTGCAAAACCCACGGATTTTTTTTTCCCACTCTAAAATTTTATCTTTTTAAAATAACCCCAATCTTCTCATGCTTTATGCCCTTCCTCTCAATTCAGGCTGTATTCATGCACGCCTCATTCACACCTGAAGAAAAAGAGCTCTAAGTGACATATTTTTCTTACAGAGACTTCTGCTCAAATGAGATGACTAAATCTAGAAGACTAAAGTCTAATTCCCATTTTATCATAAATGCTTTCATCATCATAAAATTTTAAAAATCATGCTTTTGGACATGTCTAGGAGAGACAGTATTGTTATTAGAACTGATAAGTCCAAGTGTTTCATAACCCATAAACTACTCTACCTCCTGCCACAGCCACAGCTCCTGAATGACCTAGAGACTTCTATTTCAAAGAGCTAGGCACTATTTCAGCTAAGTAACTAATCCTTATTTTTCTCTTGGCTTATAGGTGCAAGAATTGAGAGTTATGGGTAGTAAGTTATGAAACATCACAACTTAGATGGTGAATACGTGAATTCATGCAATAGACTACTCTGGGCAAAAGGAGATTGAGACCCTGTTTATTTCTTGAAAAGTTCATGAAACAAAGGTTAAATCACAGAGTACCTTGTCTGAGACACCCAAATGGACCATGACAGCCACTCCTACAAGAAATTCTTGGTTAATCAAATGTCACAAAAATCTTTTTAGGTTGGTATGACATAAATATCCTTCTACATGAAACAAGCACAGAAGTGATATATTACTTACTTCAGGGTCCAGTTTGAGATGGAGCCATTCATCCAGCTTCAGAAGTGCCAAATTAGCAATTGTTTTGTCCTCCATCTCACTGTCACTGCTGTCATTAGATACCCCACCCCCTGAATTAAATATAAAAGGTGCATTAACATTTCTGTACTATGTCCACTTACATACAAAAAACTGAACACTACTGTATGACCAGCAATAAGCTATTTTTCCTTCTAAAATTTACTTTAAAATGTAAACATTTGTAAAACCATTTTTTATTTTCTACAGATACACCCCAGTGAAAAGTCTTTGCTCCAGTTAGCAGAACTCGAGTAGCCAGACCTGCTGAGGGCTCTACTTTGTAAACACCTTTACTGATGGGATCTGTCTCAACTCATGTACCTTCATCACTACTGACAACCATTAACAAACTTTTGCCTGAAACTGTTTGTAAACACACACATGGCTCTCTTTCCTAGTAAAGCAGTAGATTTAAAGACCGATTAAGAAAAAAAAAAATTATATATATGGCTATTAACTAGGAATTCTTATTTTCTTGAAAGTGCAATTCCATCAGCATGAACAGTATTCAAAGGTTAAGAGTTTAAAAGCAAGACAAGAAAGCTTCAGAAATAACTTGGACTCTGATATAAACTATGAGAACTGGCAGCAGGATAGATTATTTTTGTTTCTATTCCTACAGCACTCAATTTAAATACAAAAAAAGGAAATTTCTAGATATTCTTTATTACTTATAGTTAACAGTACAGCTAATTGACATTAAAAGTTATCAGTAGAAAATGATCTTGAAAATGCATGTGTCAGCTGGAAGCAATATGACTATTTACCATATTGATTATTTCTAAATTACTCAGTTTGAATAATCTGGTTCAAAGTATCGAATACACTAGTCTGCAGAAAAAAAACATATATACTACACTTTTCAGCACTAGTATTATCATTAGACATTTTGGTTGCATTCTTTTTTCCCCTACAAACTATAGTTTAATTTCTGAGACTACAGAACTGTGTAAGTGTAATTTATGGATATGAATCTATATGGATTCCCAAAACTGAGACATTTGTAAGAGAGTCTATAAACTATACTTGAACAGCTACAAGAACTATAACTCTGTTTTCAGAATTAACTAATATATGTAATAAATACTGTAGAAAAATAAGCTTTCCAAATGATATACCAATGGAAACATTCCAAATCCAGATTCCAGTGTACCTCGGAAGGATGATGAAGCCTGCAAGGCATTACTTGGCAGTCTGGCTGGTCCACAGAAGAGTGACACAGTGACAGGTGTTACAACAGAGCAGCACCTGATGTTTGCTATCTTGTGAGCTCTCGTCACTTCATCATATATAAGCCAGTCTGTAGGGAGTGACTGAATGGCTGCAGCTTGTCCGTTTGCCGGGGGAATCTATGCAAGAGCAGATAACAATAGGCTATTTTACCCTCTCTTTGTAATTAAAATTAATTTTAATGTATTTGTTAATTTATCCAGAGAAGGTGTGGATGCCTCAACCCTGGAAGTGTCAAGGCCAGGCTGGACGGGGCTTGAAGCAACCTGGTCTAATGGAAAGTGTCTCTGCCCATGGCAGGGGGGGGTTGGAACTAGATGATCTTTGAAGTCTCTTCTAACTTAAACCATTCTATGATTCTATATCTGTGTAGAAATATATTTTATATAAACACACACAAATAAAAAAGCATGAGAGAATTCAGCCAGACTCACAAATTATCCTACCACCTTGAAATGAAATATTTTGCTTTAAAAAAGAAAAGTTTCAGAGCAGAACTTCATCCTCCTATTACAAGCAGGGATCATTACAGCAGGTCTCAAGTTGTGCCAGGGGAGGTTTAGGTTAGATATTAGATATTAGAAAGAATTTCTTTACAGAGAGGGTGGTCAGACATTGGAATGGACTGCCCAGGGAAGTAGTGGATTCTCCGTCCCTGAAGATTTTTAAAAAGAGACTGGATGTGGCACTTAGTGCCACGGTCTTTAGTAACCGTAGCAGTAGTGGATCAAGGGTTGGACTTGATGATCTCTGAGGTCCCTTTCAACCTGGCTGATTCTATGATTCTATGACTCTTGAAACCAGTTTTATAACTAGGGGTTCTTGTTTTACCATTTTGTCTTGTTCCACCTAGAGGAAGGACTTATTGAAATAATGGAAAAATAAACAAACTCCCTTTTATTCTACCTAATGGCAGAAAAAATATTTTCTAAAAGTGTAGTTTTTAATGCACATGCTGCTTTTAAAGCACTGACAACTCTGAAGAGACATTTCTAAAGCATTTGATAATAGTGCTCTTTTTCGTGAACTATAAATTCTAAGCGATTGTACCTTTTTATACTGAGGCTGACTAAGAACAGAGGTAGGATGAAATCGCACTTTCTTCTCCTTTGGTTCAGTCAAAACCAGGCTTTCTCTGTCTACATGCACGAGATTGGGATACATCCCAGCCACCAAGGCAGCTTTAATTACAGCCCAGTTCTCCGAGTTAGTATTAACATCTCTAATATCAGCTCCTCCTCTGGCTCTAACAAAACCTGAAGAAAACAAAGGATAAATGTGTGCCATGTTTGCTTGTATTTAATATCTACCTTTTTGCCTCTCAGAAGGAATTTGAAAATAAACTGAAATGAACTGCAAACTGATGCATTTTTCACCACTGCCAACCTTAACAGCACCCAGAAGAAACCACAGGGGATTTTATACTAACATAGAATAGAATTAACTTTGAACAATACAAAGACATTTCCTATGGAAATAATTTTCTAAAATGTAAAAATCCAAGGAAACATATCTCACACTGAAAGCCAGTGACATGTGGAACAACCAGGATTCTTTCAGTTAGATCAGCTATTCCCCAGCCACTTTCTCATCTTCACCACACCCAGCATGAAGGTGTACTGGTCTGTTTCAAATTAAGTAAGGAGAATTACACCACTGAACACTATTCTTGTTACAACTTCTTTACTCTTGACTTCAAAGCTATGTTGAAATTTTTTCCAAGCTATTTACCCGAGGCTCTGAGTTGGCCAAGCAACTGTGTTCTCATTCCTACGATGATTTCCATCGTGGCCTGAGACAGGAAGTTCTTTTCACAGAAGGCTCTCTCCCAGCCGTCACTGCGTGCCTTCTGCCATGCCTGAAAAGAATATTTTTTTACATTTGCATATTAATTAGATTAGTTAAAATTTAAAAATGCATTTTTTTAAAAATTACATTTACATCAATAAAATGAAGGCAAAAGCCACTCTGAAAGTAAACATATCAAACCAGATTTTTTTCTGTTTAAGTATTATTCTCTTCACCCATTCCCTACATGAACATATAGTGATCACTATCTGAAGTTATATTTTAAGACCATTAAGTTAGTATAAAGATCACTTAGTAGTTCGTATTAAGATTACTATTTTAAGTCATCAGCATAGCAGGATATAAAGAGACACATTGTTGGAACATTCAGAATTTAACAAGGTTTGAAAATACCAACAAAAGATATGACAAAAAGTGTTCCTTCACAAATTTATGAGTTCAGTATACAGGAGTTTCTTCTCAAAGGACTTAATCCTAGTCTACCATACATCCAACTTGACTGGGACATCCTTTGCTTGCATGGGTGATCTATTGTGATTATTACTCTTCCTGAAATGAAGTAATACCTGGAAAGCCCTGAGAAGGGCCATGTGGTCGCTGAAGGTCCCTGCAGCAAAGCGTTTCCTGCAGAGCATGGCTGCACGCTTCTGAGAGGCCAGAGTGGGCAGGACAAAAGGGTCCTGACAGGCCAGAGCACAGGCAATGGTAAGAACAGGGTCCAGGCACTTCAAAACAACTGCATACAACACCATTTTACCAAGGTGTGGCTCTACTGGTAATTCAGTGAGATGATAACCAAGTTCAGTGAGATCTTCCCAAGGGTCCATAGCATCTATTGTCTGTTAAGAAAAAAAATATAAAAAAGGAGAAGGGGATGAGAACAGTGGACAAAATTAATTTACAATGAAAGTAGAAAGGATGTGAATACTGGACACTAACTAGAACTGCTTCCAAGCAATAAAAAAGCAAGTCAAACTTGAAAGTTTGAGACAAGATTTTTAAACATTCTCTTCCCTTAATACGGAAAAACACATTCCCACACACAAAATAAAACCAGACAATAAACACAAATTCAAAACACCCTTAAGTAACTAAGCAATAGTTGCAGTACAAACAGAAGTCAGTAAACTATGTTGCAAAACAACAAATAGGGAATCAAATACAATTCTCATCTAAATCTATTCCTTTTCACTGACCATAAGCATGTGCACAGCGTTTCTCACAATTACAGCAGGTGGAGGATCAGGAGCTTTCATAAGAAAGTCTACAACTGGACAATTAATTGGAGCCAGTAGTTTTGTGTATAAACAAATCTCCTGCAAGTTAAAAAGCAGAATAAAAAAAGGTCATTAAGATTTGGGGGAAAAAAAACCAAGCACATACTTTTTAAAAATTAATAGTATGGTTTGATGAAAATACATTTTTTTTTAGTTATAATTTCTAACTCAACATGCACCTGAAGTGGCATTCTTAGAAGCTCCGGAGTCTGAAATTCCAACATCTTCTGAAATCGGAGCCTGCTGAAGAGACGAAAACAGACTCCAGGCTGACAGCGCCCAGCCCTTCAAAATAAAATATGGGAAGTTGTAAAAATTAGCATTTCATTTTAAAAACAAAACCAACCAACCAAAAACCAAAACATGCGCACAAAACACAGGATGGAAAAGTAGAAAGCAGTTCTATGAAAAAGATGTTGTTAAGTGGAAGTCCCACACAAGGTGAGAGCTTTCCAATACATGGATTATTTTTGATAGTATGCAAAAACAAAACTAAGGACTATCTAAGTAAAGGGAGGTAGGTTTTTTTGCTAACCTAAAACCAATCCAAATCTAAACTCTCCTTTACTATAAGGAGTTTAAGTTGTAAACTTCATGTCTTACTCTTCACATCCCCCAAACAGTTTGAAGTTAAAAGGCAGAATGAAGATTGAACAGGTGGTGAGTGAAGGGACAGAGACAGCAAATGCTCACACTCACACTCTAATTACCCACAACTTATTGCCAATACCATGTCACTAAACAGGCATTTGTTGCTACTTAAATAAGCTTCTCAGCCCTCACCCACAGCCCAACCCACAGTTGGGAAGAACATGATCATGACCAGTAGTTTGGAGAAGGGGAATAAGGAATCATTGGTCAATGTCTCTTCTAAGAAAGGAACAATGGAGTATCAATTAAAAACTAGCAGTGGGCAGTTCTTTGCCCACAGACAAGTTGTGAAACACTTTATTGGACACTGGCTGCTGGTGCTACATGGGAGAAAGAGGAGCGACATAAAGCTCACAGGGTGAAAACAACCTAGACCTAATGTAAGTTTTGGGAAATTCCTGAGCATCACTTCTCTACAGCTTGGGAAATGACTCCAATGAAATACATGCTGACCCTTATTCTTCTATAGAGAATGAATGTTGGCCATTGTCCAACACAATACTGGACTAGGCTATAAACATTACCCAATGTGGCTGCTATTATATTGTGTACTTTATTCTCAACATACCGGACAGCGGATATCTGCAAGATGAAAACTGATATGAGGCATTTATTACCTGCCTTTTCTCTGGATAGCACTGGCTTTCGAAATCCATGCCGTTTTTAGCATTGCAACATGACTCAGTGCATCAAAAGACTTCTATAAAAGCAAAGTAAGGAACATAAACCCAAGATTGAATAGGGTACACGAAATAAAAGCTACTAGTGATTTATATTATCAACAGAAGTTTTCTAAATAATATAAAATTATAATAATAACCATCATCAGCTTCTGGCATAAAGGTATGTTCTGAAGTTCTTAGTTTCAAGTAAACTTCTGATTCCATCTCCTTCACAGTATCTTTGTTTTACACAGTTTTCTAAATTAAACTTTTCTAGTCAATTGATAATTCTCAGATACGGATTGTGTTTTGAGTTATCACAAACCACACAAAAATATATTATTACACTGAATAAAGTCTTCCTCTTTGTCTCACTTTGTCTCACGTAACTTCTGTCAATACTTCAAAACAAGTACAGCAACAAATAACTAAACAAGTCATTAATTCTGCTAGCCCTATTCATTTTTTTCAATAGGCATCAGAATGCAAAGGTAACAAAATCTGAAACTGGAGACAAAAGCAGGCACAGAAATTGAAATAAATTTGCGGTTGCTTTTTTCTTATGTAATAAGATGAGAAACCTACCGCTGACATTTTCAGTTAAAATGAGATGGAAATTACATCCTTATTTTTCTACATTTGATGCAAAATTACAGAAAAAGTTATACGTAGAACTTCAGAAATTTGGTGTGCATATCTCCTATGAAATCCAAACTGATTTTCAAAGCCATATACTAGGTCTTAAACTGCCTCATTATTTTATCTCCCTCTTCTTGAACAAAGAATTTGGAAACGGGCACTCAACACATCAAAACCAATGCTTAAAATCCTAATGGATTAGACTTGGGCTTGATACAATAGCAGGACAAAGGGAATTCCCAGTGTTCTCTAAGCCTCAGGAAGATGGAGATCTGAAGTGATGGACTTGTTTTAAAAATCAAGTAGAAATACTAAATTACAAAAAAAAAAAAAAAAAAAAAAAAAAAAAAAAAAAAAAAAAAAAAAAAAAAAAAAAAAAAGAAAAAATACACCAACATATCAATCTACAGTAGCTTTTACAGGGTTTTAAACAGCTATTTTACAGCATTTGTCATAAAACAAATGGATGTCAGAACTTCTCAGTGAGCTTTGTTTCTTGACATGCACTAGCTGTCAGCCTACTGTAAAAAAATAGTTCTTCAAAATATATCTATTATGTATTTTAGAACAACACTAGGAATTTTACTTCCCAAAGAAAGTTTAATGCAATCTTACCTCTTTCACCTTGCCTGAGTCAATAACAAATACAACATCATTGACTGTAATGCTGGTTTCTGCGATATTTGTAGAAAGAATCTGCAATAAAAAGAAAAAAAAACAACCAAAAGTATAGTAGTTGTAAAATCAAAGACAAAACACATCAATATCAGCATCTGACAAAGTCCTCTGATACTTGCTATTTTGCGGATGCCAGAAGGTGGACTTTCAAGCACTTTCTTCTGATCCAAAGTCTGCACACTTGAATGAAGCATGAAAACTTGGTACCTAACACAAGATAAAGACCACATTTTAAGGAACGTTAAAAGAAGCAATAAAAACCTCAACCCAGCCACATAAACTGAAGCTTTTACCTGTGAGCATTATCAGCAAACCTCTTGTCATCAAAAACAATACGGTCCCTCAGATTCACTATCTCGTCATATCCAGGAAGAAATACTAAAATTGCTCCTAAAAAAAGGTGGGTTTGCAGAGTTTAACAGAAAATTCACTCCAAATATGTGTCAGTGCCATGTAGACTAGCACCTGGAAGGTTTTAACTATTTGGGATTTCTGAAAAAAAGAGCATGATTCATCAGAAGCTGAATCCACAGCAGTTTATTGGAAGTGGGTGTATATACCTACCTGCATCACAACTATGACAGATGTTATGCAGTAAGTGCATAATCAGATCCAGATCCACTTTTTCATCATCAAAACTGTGATGATAAGCTGACAACAGCTCTCTGTCCTCTGCACTAAGGTCATTACCACTTGTTTGGACCAGGGAACTTTCATCCAGCTTTCCAAATCCAAATGAAGCACTAAAATAGAAAAATACACAGACCAGAGTCAAGGCTGTTTGCTTTGGGTTTGCATTCATCATCTCAAACTTAGATCAAGACCAACATGACCACTCATCTCAAATTTTAATTTTAAAGTGTAGCAGAACAGCATATCCACAATACTATTATTGTTCACTAATTTAACTGTACTCCAACAAAACATGCAACTTCAATTTTTAGTGTTAACTTGAATTTTCTTATACTTCATTGAAACAGTCATAAGCAAATGTGACAGAACTCTAAGTATAAAGACAGTACTTGTTTATTTGCTAAAGGAAAAATATTTAAAAGACATGTATTTTCCAAAAATTTCTCACTATCAGAAACTACATTAAGAGAAATTGTAATAATATAGATCTCCACAAAACAATAACTAAACTATGATAACTCTAAGTTAATAAAAAACCAACTCTTGAATGGCCTAGTGTACATGTTACTCCTATGACGTTTCTTTAACATCGCTATTGTGCATCAACAATATACAGATAAAAACACAAAACAGATTTGTTTCCAAAATAAGTATATGAGATTAAAATGCACCCGGTATAGAATCTACATCTCTGTGTATTAATTAAGTTACTATGATCACATCCTGCCCATCATGAAAGGACTGTCCATATCAAGATGACAAAAGCTAATAATATAAAAGTAGTCCTATGCCACTATAACTGTATTTATCTTAGAGTTGTGCAAACATAATCACTATGATTCTGAGTACAAACAAACTTCTCTTTTTTAATAACTATGTTTTTGAAAAATTTCTATTCTTAAAAAAAAAATCTTGCTATTTAGGCCAGATTTTAAAGAAGACAAAACATGAATTTCCCTTCAACATGTCACACAACTCTTTCAGCAAAGCAGTTATAGCTTACCTGTAACATTCCAACAGGTCAACAACTTCTGTCTGTCCAAAGCGCTTAGCCCAGTCAACAGCCATCCTGAAAGAGTTGCAGAAAAATCCTTGCTGCATTTCTCACTTCAAAAGACGCATATGAATAGCGTATTATGTTAGGAGACAATTGACACCACACTTTTGTATCAATTTCTGTACTGTAATCAATGCTGTTATTGCTGGATCTGCAACTTCCTGTTTTAAAGTGCATAAATAGGTTGTAACAACCTTTCTGATTTTTAGTAACTGCAGTTCTTTACCACAAAAGAATAACAGTTTTATACAGAAGTACATGCAAACATACACAATGAAATGAGGAGGAAGAATGCACCATTTCTTCAGAAAGCACATGCCAATGCACACAGATCAGCCATGCCTTTTTGCAGTACCTTCATATTATCTCACAAAGTTACACACCAGGCATTTTTCAACAAAATGTGGGAATACACTGGGCTATTTGATGTTTTACAGGAGGTTCCCTCCTCACAATGCAGTTCACTGTTTTACTTTTTAAACTGCATTCCTTCTCCAGTTTTGCAAGTAGTAATGCCAAATATGAGACCACTAGAATCCCAATTCTTATCTTTCCACAGTACAATTCTTTGCTAATACTTCCCTGTTTATATGAAGTCACAATCCATGGCCACAAAACTTGAGTTTTTACAGATTCACAAATATTTTTACATGATACAACATATTTACAGACATAACACAAAGATCTTCTGATACAGGTTATCAGAAAACTCTCTGAAAATAAGAATCACCAAACATTTTGGGTCCAATTCAATCAATGCAGTGAAAAAGATCATAGTTTTTCTTCTAAACGGTGTCTTAAATCAGACATATCAAAACCAAGTGTATAGCCCGTAATCGAGACTGTGTAATTAAGAATTCAATTTAGAATTTACAGAAAACAATGTGATGAACAAAAGTCAGAAGCTCACTAATAGGTTGTCAAAACCTATTAGTGCTTTTGGTAAGCTAGAAAATTCTATGACATCTAAACTAATTTTCTTTCTCGCTTCTATATTGACAAATAAATCTATCTTTCAGTTTATGTGTTTGTTATTACCAGCCATTGGATGATTTGCAGTGGATACTTGCTCCCATACTGATCAGCTGTTCCACTTGACTCAAAAAGCCTCTCCCTGAAGCAATCATTAGAGCAGTTGCGCTGGTTTCACTGTGCCTATAATCAACTGAGAAGGAAAAAAAAAAAGCAGCAAACCCAAGAGAAATGTTATTTTTTCATCCAAATGTAGTACAAATATTACTTTTAAAATTCAGCCCAAAGAGAATTTGTTTCCTCACTTCATCCCTGCAGTCAGTTCATGTGCATTAAACACTATTTTAGAAACGTAACTTCTGTCAATACTTCAAAACAAGTACAGCAACAAATAACTAAACAAGTCATTAATTCTGCTAGCCCTATTCATTTTTCTCAATAGGCATCAGAATGCAAAGGTAACAAAATCTGAAACTGGAGACAAAAGCAGGCACAGAAATTGAAATAAATTTGCGGTTGCTTTTTTCTTATGTAATAAGATGAGAAACCTACCGCTGACATTTTCAGTTAAAATGAGATGAAACACCTGAGCAAAGGAATCAATATCTTTATGCAACCAGATGTCAGAAAGACAAGAGTCCATTTCTTTTACTAGCCACGGTTCAAGGCAATTCACATCTTTTTCAGTCTGAAGATAAGAAACAACATTGAAAGATTAACCTCTTCCAAAAGTTGTCTTTATTCTCCTGTATCACCCATAAAGAATTTGAATGGTTACTTTTCCAAGTAACAATCAGGAATCCAGCACTCAGATATCAGTTAAAGCATTTATTTTATCCCATGCAAGTACTTCAAGTAAGTGGCAGCTGAGCCACTTGAGCTGAGGAAAAGTTATGTACAACCATTATAACTGAAAAGCAAGCTTCAGCTAGAGTAGTTCATTCTAATAAAATACTCTTTAAAATACGTTAATATCCTCTGTAATATCTTCAGAAATAAAATTAATATCTTTAATAGTAGTATCTTTAAAAAACAGATTATAAATGGCTAGTAAATATGACACAGATGCAAAAACTCTTTCAACAAAAGGAAAAACTTACCAGTTGATTAAATACTGTGTCACCACCATCATCCAACATATGATACTCTTCAGTTGCCCTTGGCACAGATTTTTGTCTCTGAGGTTTCAGTTTGCTAGTATTTTCCTGAGGAGAACACCACTCAGTGAGAGTGTTTTTCTGTTTCTCTTCTAGAATACATAAAGTATTTCCCAAAAAAATGTTAAAGTCATCACAATTATCCATTTTTTTCCATTAAACAGTTATATCAGGACATAGCTTTACCTATCCTAATTCTTTTATTTAATTGAGAAAGCTGCTACCAATCCAACATAAATTCCATGATTAAGGGCACACAAAGTGCACCATTGCAAGCATCTGCTGTAGGAACAAGGAAAAACCCACCATTTTGGCGCCTAACACTCTAAGCCTCCAGTATTCCAATCTACTGCATTCCAATAAGCTTCCTAAGTAACTATCTTCTACACAATCTCAGCCCAGATCTTTCTCCAGAAGTGAAATACCAAGTAGAAGTTATACAACTCCTCCATGTCACAACTGATTTTTTGTGGGGGTTGAATTTTTTTTTTAAATACTCACTAGGAATTTTAACAGAAAGCCATCCTATCAGCTGTTCAATTAATGAGACTCATTGCCAACCCTTACCATTAAGTCTCCCTACCTTGCTGCTTCTCCTTTTTGTACTTGACCATCTCTTTATTTGTATACCCAGTGCTTCGTAAAATGTCCTCCAGAAACATCTCTTTAACTTCAAAAGGTCTTTCTTGGACTGAAAGTATAAATAATTCATAAAAGATAAGAAATTCCTTAGCTTCACTTTCAATACTAATTTAAAAAAAATCATTTTCATAGATACAAAACGTGGATTAAACATTATAAGGGTCTGACTTAAGGCATCATTACTTTCCTTGAAAAATCTTGTAAGAGTATCTTCACTGGAGTTTATTTTCTTAAAATTACTGGGCCACAAACATTTCAAAAGGGAAATGTCAGCTGAATACCTTGTTTCTCATTAACCTCTTCGATTCTACTAGGTGTTATAGCAAGAGATGATCGTTAGATTGACAGTTATTAACTGCAATTTTATCAAAATGAGTAAAAGAAAACAGCCATTTTTATCTAAGGTTTCAAAATAGTCACTAATAAAGCCTGTCACCTGGATTACAAAATACAAGAGCAATTAATACGGCTTTAGTGAAAGATTCCATAAGCAGACTGTTATCTTCGTACTGAACTACTTTCATAAGAAGTATATGAGGAGATACAGTTCTCTCAATTTCCTCAACTAATTCAGCCAAATTTGGTTTTCTTTACTGAATTAAAATCTCTAGATTTTAATTTCTCATCCCTTAGCAGACACACCACAGCTGAGTTTAGACTCAAGACTTTCCTTCAGAAAGAAAAAGTTACAATTCACATACTTTTAAAAGCTGTCATGGAGGAATTCTTCCAACACTGATCACACACTTAGTGTGTACTACAGGAACTCACAACTAAAAAATGTTGGTTTCTATGGTCAGGATTTTGTCAGCTATATTGCTGAAGGAGAATCAAACCTTTTTCATTATATTAACAGCCAAAGTATTTTAAACGCTCTTCTTTTAATTTTTATATTCTCAAAAAATGGAAAAATAAGCTTTTCAGTTGTAATTAGCCCATTAAGTTTAGTATAACAGTATAACCACTGGAGAAAGAGACTGCCATCAGAATTTCCAAAACAAGCCCACTGGTCTAAAAGAACAGGAAGCGGCAAAAAGAGTAAACTGAAAGCCACACAACAATTACAACTGAGGCTTTCCCTTGCAAAAAAAAATTTGGAAAACACTCAAATCATGGGTAATTCCCAGACTCCTGCCTCCAAAAAGCTTCAAGTCTTATTTTACTAGGCAGAAATTCAGAACTGGTAAGTAGAAATAAACACTTCTATCTATAAAAAAAAGGAAAAAAGATTTCTTTCTCACAAACATTCACTAAAATAAACCACTGATTTGTAGACAACACTCCAAACAAAGTGATCCCACCCATCTCCTAAAACTCAATATTCTTTAAAAAGGGCTGACATGCAGACGGTCTATTTGATTGGCAAATAAAGGATTTCTCTTAAAGCTTCTTTTCAAAACACATAATATTTGGACATAATTGTTGGAAAAGAGGACTGCAAGGTGCCAGAGGAGGTGAACCATGCTGAAAACCTACAAGTCATGAGGGTGGGAAAATGAAAACAAACCCACAAAAAACCCCACATCTCCCACACACCCTACCTCTACTAAAGATCAGTTAAATGAAATTAAAACAGCAATAATGATAATTTTTCTTTGCATCTGAATGTAATCTCCAACTGCAGGTTTCTGACTCTGAACATAAATTAACAGAAATTGCATGTCTTTCCTGAATATTTATCTAGATGAACTGCTAGGACTTTCCTTTATAATCAAGAACCATGCCATTAAAAATGGAACCCCAGTTTGCCTAGGACCGTATTTCTGAAGTGAACATGTATAGTTATCTGTGTTTTATCCAGTAACCACTAACAATGACTATGAGGCCTGATGAACTAGAACCTACTGGAATGTATTAATATATAACACACTGTTATAGATCCTAGGACCCATGTCACCACAGAGACAAGTACTTTAACAATCTTTTCCTGCTTCTTGAATTGAACATGAAGGGGGTCAGGATATGCCTCCATTTACAGAACTCAACAATAAGAATATTACTTCTCTCTGAATTAGGTACAAATAGTTATGAAATAAGAGAAAGACACGAACAACAAGCACTGCTTTAACACTCAGTGTATTCATCATGTGCCTTTACTCAGACTAGTCTGCTACAGTTTAATAAGATCTATGAGTTTTAGGGCAGGTCTACTTAGATTTAAGAGTTAAAATACATACTTACTGTGTATGACAGGGCAACTTCCAAAATACCTAATAAAAAGATTTGCATCTAGAGCAGCACTAGAAATAATTAATCTTAAACTATTCTGGTTTTGCAATACATCTCTCAGTTTTATTAACAAGAAGTCACTGAATCTATCCCTCTCATGTACTTCATCCTAAAACAAAAGGAAAAAAAACAACCAAAACCAACAGATAAACATCACATATTTAAGAACATAACTTCTGACAAATATGAACTTCTTTAAAAATACTAACATATACAATTAGTGTCACATTACAGAGGCACAAAAATGTGTAAGTGTAGTTTAAGTAAGGATTTTCTTTAACCATCCATAAGTAAAAATTTATTTCAAAAGGTTTTATAAAGATATCAGAGCAGAGCACACTGCAATGCACAAGTCAAATACATCTTAACTTCAGAGGTCAAAGTGAATGTCAGAAACTTCTCCTAATTCTTGTATCTAAACCTCACTTTCAATAAAATGCCACAAACCACAAATCCTATAAATATTATTTTAATGAATTCTCATTTCTCAACTGATGAGCATTTAAAGAAATATATGATAACACATAGACAGAAAAAAAATATAGTCTGTTTATACAGTCACGCAAAAAGCTTATTATCAATTAAGGCACATGGTTGCTTTATCACCTGTGTCATTCTTCTGTTTCCTTTTATATTATGAAACAGGGACCCAAATGCAAGATCTGTAAGCTGAAGTCAGGAATGTATGAGTCATTTTCATGGTTTTTTTTCACTTTGATAAACAGGCAGGCACATAAAATTACCATGATTTTTCTGTCTTCAGCAGTGGAGAATGTAATATTGTGGTAAACATTCTGATTCCACTGACTTACCAAGTTCCACAATAGGAATATTCACATAATCATAAAGGAGTACACTTAGATAATCTGCTAGAAATTAGACTGCACATTATGTTGAAAACACTGGGCAAACAAATGGACCGCAAACCTGGTATTGCTAAAAAAAATACATGACAACAGAAATTCAGACATGCTCACATTGAACCACGTCTACATAAGCCTCCCTCAGGCTTTTCTGCTGACAGAGAAAGTTCAGAAAAATTTAGATGTCTGTCGTCCTGAACCACATCATAATTCCACAATTAATTATTGGCATGAACCTAAATAAGATACTTTTACAGGAGAAAACAACACACAAAGAAGCGCCAAAACACACAAAAACATGCATGTTACAATAAAGAATCAGTAGGTCTTTGAAGCCAATTCAGATTCTACCACACAAAAACACCTAAAATGCTCAACAACTGAATAGAAAAATGAGGACCTCATCTTCCAATAAGTAAGTAACACATATTGCTCCCCCCCACATGGAAGACAGCAGGGTCCTTACCACAATAACATGTGTCACGGTTGACAAAGTGCTGTCTCCTGCCATCAGCGTGCGAAGCAGCATGTCATTAGTGCAAAACGTTACCAGTGTCTTTGGAGAAACCCTATGGAACAGTTCAGAAAGACAACTCAGGTTTTCTGCACCACCTAAAGGCTGCTAGCTTTCCATGGCTTGAAAACTGAAGGACTGAAGAGCAGCTCACCATAAGAGGAATTACAGTTCTCTCACCAAAGAATTCATACAGACCACTTGTTTATAAACTATGCCTATTCCAAGACAGCTCCTAAGGATTCTTAGTGTTTATGCTCCAAAACTTCAGACAATGGATTAATTGAAAAAGCGAGATTCAAATTTTAACAAACAAATAAGTAAGTGAAACAGAACCTTGAGAACCTCTCCATGTCTTTCCATTTACTGGAAAATCAAACGTGAACTGCTTTGGAAAAAGAGATTCCAATTTTTCAGCATATGCTTCGATATAACCAAGCCTACATGTGGTGGCCTGACCCCGGCTGGATGCCTGTTGTTAACCAAAGATGCTCTATCCCTCGTCTCCTCAGCTGGGCAGGTGAGAGAAAATACAGTGAAAGACTCATGGGGTCAAAACAAGGACAGGGAGACACCAGTCACCAATTACAGTCACGGGCAAAACGGACTCGGCTTCAGGAAATTAGTTTAGTTTATTACCAATTAAATCAAGAGTAGAATAATGAGAAACAGAACCAAATCTTACAACACCTTTCCCCCACCTCTCCCGGCTTCACAGGACTTCTTCATTCCCAATTTGCTCTGCCTCCTGTCCCCAAAGGCACAGGAGAACAAGGAATGGGGACTGCAGTCAGTTCATCACACACTGTCTCTGCTGCTCCTTCCTCCTCATGGGGAGGTCTCACACTCTTTGCCTGTGCCAGCATGGGATCTCTCCCATGGGAGATAGTCCTCCACGAGCCCTTCACTCATGGTAGTTAGCTGTGCCAGTAAAACCAGCAATTGCCACTAATTTCTCCAGTACTGCAATCCTAAAGGAACTGAAAACTTCGTGTTGTACTCTACAGCTCTTGTCTGGAAGACATGAGGTCACTGGATGTCATTCCATACTTCTTGCATTTCTTTCCAAGATTGGATTTAATCCCTCCTTTCAAAAATTCAAAAATTTAATATGTAATTAAATTCAAGGAACGTATACTAGACAGGAATGCTCTACTTTCTCTTTACATCTCTACCCTTCTCTCTTCTTCAGTAGCCTCCAAGAAATAGTCATTACTAACAGTTAAAAATTAGACTTCAGTGTTACTGTAAACATCTCTAAACACCTCCACCCCAGATTTTTTTTTTTTTGCTCAGTGATGGAAATAATATCTTATCTCCCTTTTAGTCTTTCTCTAGAGTAAATTTATTGATTGTTCTTAAACTGGATTTTCCACGCTGCTTCCAGTAATTCTTCCATTTTAATCTGACTTATACTTTGCCGTTCTTCTGCCAACATAATACTTCCACAAACTAATCATTCAGCTTATTTGTAATATATCTTTACTAGCTCTTTTAATCCCTTAATAGCCTTGTGAGATTTCATATGCATATTCAAACTCATAACTTGGCCTTGTTGCTCAAGTGCATTAATTTTCATTAGTTATGTGTTATCTTCACCCATGTAAGCAACATAACCAGCCATCTTTTTACCTTTTGCCATCTTCTTCTCAATCATATCCCAGCTGCTGCCCCTTCCTGAAAATCCCACTAAATACACAGTTCAAAGAATGTAAAAACCCTAAACAATCTTCAGTCTTCAATCCATTCGTGCTCTGCTTTAAGAACAAATTCATCAGGTGACAGAGAAATCTCTTTTTGTATCACTTCATGCTTTAAACACAAGAGCTGAAGCAAAGTAAATTTAACCCAAAGCAGATTGGTAAATAATGCTCAACATCATCATTCACTTTGCAATTTTGTTGTTTCCCATTTTATGTCTCCATGCTTGTCTTCAGACCTACCTTCAAAACTTGCAGAACTTGTGGATCCACATGTTAGAAATAGAGGGGGGGGGGAAGAGAAGAAGCAAAGAGGAAAGTATAGACCTAATTTGAAAATAAGACAAGGATTTACACACACACGCTCTCCCTAGAAGACAATAGCAGAAAGCACTTGCAATTCAATTCTATAAGACAACTTACTACAAGAAACTGCAAATACAGGAGTAAAACTGTCCTTTTCGTTCTTCATTTGTTACCTGCAATGACATATCCCACCTATACTTTATACATGGAGATTTTACTAGGCTGTATCCCAAATATACTGTAGTTTAAATCTACACAAGACTTACAATACCAACACATGATCAACTGACTTTAAGAAATATCCATAGTACCTGCTTTCCAAGCGGATCTGATAACCAATTGTCTGGCCAATCTTTTCTCTTCTTTCTGCTGCCACTCTTTCAGCCACAGCAACAGCTGCTAAACGTCTTGGCTGAGTGCAAAATACACGACAAGGAGTTCCATTTTTGTAACAGTCGTCAAGAATAAACTGAGGGATCTGTAAAGAAGTAGTTCAAATTTACTTTTTAGTTTGAGAAAGTCATAGTTTTTTACCACAGTGAAAACAATTTAACTGCATCTCAATATTACATAGGTTGCAAAAGGATTCACAACAGGATTATCATTGCAAATGTACCTGAAGGGGCAGAAAGGCAGCAAAAATAAATTTCTGATTTTAAGTACAATCTGTTTTTAAAAAAAAAAAAAAAAAAAAGTTGAAGTGTCTTTCTCCTGCTTCAGAGTAATCTATAAAAAAGGCCCTGTAGGTAATCTTTCATTTTAGCACAAAAATATACTACTTGGATACTAAGAATGGAACTAGCTTGAGAAGAAAAAGGGCTAAAACAAAACTCACAGCCACTATCCCTTCAATATTTTGTATTATTTTAATGAAAAAATGGTACCTATCAGAAAATTGTTCAGAACCATTTATGTTTTTAGCACAAGGTCTCTGTGCTTTATAATCACATTCAAAAAGCAAAAGATAAAAGCCCATAGGCACACATGAATGAGTGATCTCATACAAGAAAACAAAAGCCTTAAAACTGCATAAAGAAATCTGTTATTACAAATATTACAAAATTGGCATTAGTTTCATATAAATACTGTTATTTTCTTTATTTCATTAAAGAAACATACTTGAGTAGTTTTTCCTGATCCAGTCTCTCCAATAATCAAAACAATTTTATTGTCCTTTATTATTTTGACAATTTCCTCCTGTTTTTCAAAAACTGGTAATGACTGCCTGAAGGTATCAAACTCTGATTCCCCTCTTTTCACTGGAACTTGGGGGATACCATCATTAAGTCGTCCACTTGTCTTGTTCACTTCTTTGTTTTCTGTGAAGAGAAGTTAAGAATTTACTTATACAGACAAAAGAATGGAAGAATGGAAGGTGATTAAAACACTGCTTAAAAATTGTACTTAAAAATTAACATTCCTGACTTTATATGCATTCCTGTAGGTAAAGTGTCAAACCCATCACATATTTAAAAGTCATATTCATAGCAACATGTCCTGTTATGGTGCTTGAAATAAATATTTTTCATATGAGTTATTACTTTCATAAATATTTTGAACAAAAATGGACTATCTCAGTGCATTTCTTGAAGTCAAAAAAGGCTTCAAAGACCAAAAGGGAAATTAAACCATAGAAAAGCAGCCTGGCACATTTTCTTGGATGTTTTATCTGCATATACACTCACATCTGCACAGTTTGCCTACAAATATCCACCACAGAGTTAAACCTTTAAGCTATTCCAAGCATGTCTTCTGACAAAAATTAACTTTACTGTGATTCATATGTCTTCTTTCACATCCTCACTGGTCTTTCATGACCTCCTTTCAGTCAGTCTTACATAACCTAATGCTCTAGCCCAAGATTTGCCTTCAATCACACTATTGGAGTCATGCTGTACCTAGAGCACAGTGTGATATATTAGAAAGCAAAGCGACAGTAGCCAAAGAATCTGCACATCTTCTGAGGAGGCTACTTCAAATTCAGCATTGCAAATGCTATTCTGTAACTCCTTGATAATTATTTGCCAGAAGAATGAAAAGCTTTCTGTAAACTCAATTATATACATTTAATGTCATTAACAGATTCATACAGTAAATTGCAAGCTCTGTCTTACCAAGACAAATGCAGATCAATAGATCACGAGAATCAAAAATACATTCTTTGGAAATAGAGAAAGATGAATTTTACACTGTTCATTAGTTTATGCCCGACATTCCTAAGGAATTGTGTTTCACTACTTTTATTATACCTTCCCTCTGTTCATTAAACTATCCTATCAAAGAACTGAAACAATTGAAGAAATAGCAAAGGAAGCACTTAAAGCATCAGAAATCAGAAACATTCAATGAAACCCTTACACCAAGCTTTGCACACAGAAACAAAACTCTTACACTCAAAACTGTTAAAGCAATAATGTTGTTAAAAGCATTGTTTAAAAAAAAACACAACAAAAACATATGAGAAGTTTGTCTTCCAGTGAACTCTTTCGTATTCCAGAAATCAAAGAGTCTGGACAGTAGTCTCTTAGGGACCAAATCTATTTTATAAGATAAAGAAACAAAAAATAAATTTCTTGCTTTATCAAAAACATGAATTTCTATATGCAAAACAGCCAACCTCATTTTCTCATAAGGATGTTCTGACACAAAGTCACGGTAACACCTGACTCTTCAACCTCACCTCATGGAACTTTTAAGAACCTGTATTTCAGAAATCTATTTCCAAAAAGATTTGGCTCAAAGATTCTAAATTAACTCAGCACAAGGTAGACATTGCAAAGTGGGTGATATGACTGCCCAAGTTCCTCACACCACCAGTAATAAAAGACCTCTTATTAACAAGTAAAAGTCAAGAAAATTAAGGTATTTGTTTAGAGGGAAAGGTATCAGGACAGGCAAGAAGACAGAACAGAAAGGGGTTTGTTTTGTACTTGGGTTGTAAGCAGTTTTTTCAAGTGTTGTTGATTGACAAGTCCCTATGAGACGACACACAGACCATACCAGATTCAACAGCACATGTGTTTCCTCGCTCCGTCTTCGGTAGAAGTTCCGTGCGTTCTTTATTTGTGACGGGAAAACTCTGAATTAAACTCCGAACTGCCTGTTTTGTACGGAGAGCCAAGTCACAAGTCATTACTGCATGTGTTAGTTCTGATACATCCTTCTTCCTTACAGTCAGGTATCGATTTGCTCCTTTGCTGGGAGGGGAAAAAAAATAAAAAAGTGTTTTATGAATAAGCAACCTACTCTAGGTTAATTCTTATCTGTCAAGGTATAAGGTTCTATGCAAAAACTTCGGAAAAAACAGAGTAGATCATGATGAGAAGTCTCTTTTATGGAGTCATGAAATCCACAAAACAGTATAAGCACAGTCTATCTCAAACTAGCAAGTCAGAAGTTTTTCTAAGCAGGAAAGCACAAAGATACTTATTTTTATGCTTTTAAAACTTTTTTCTCTAGTAGTATTCCCTGCAACAGTGGAAACATGGATCATTTTAACACCAGTCATGAAATTCCATAAACCTGCACCAAAAAAAAAAAGAAAATTGGGACTCCAACTTACCCTTTACTTTTAGATACCAGTCCAAGAGACTGACAGACCTGGTGAACAAATGCTCTTTCAGTACTAGTGAAACTAGAAGGAAATTCCATCTCTAGAATGATAATTAAAAAAAAAAAAACACTTAATAACCCAACAGGCAGCACTGTTGACATATTATCTCGATGTTACAGAATCAGAGGGCCATGAGAGTTAGAAGGGACCTCTGGAGATCATACAGTCCACCCTCTTGCCAAGGCAAGGTCACCTGGAGTAGGTGACACAGGAACATGTCCAGATGGGTCCGGAATGTCTCGAGAGAGAGACATTCTGCCCAGAGCACCAGCCAGCTGTCCAGTGCTCTGCCGCCCTCAGTGGAAAGAGGTTCTCCCTCATGTTGAGATAGAATTTCTTGTGCTTTTACTTTATGGCTATTGCTCCTGGGCACCACTTAAGATCTGGGACCACCCTCTCGGCACCCGCCTCTGAGATATTTACATGTATTAATGAGCTGCCCTCCCAGTTTTCTCTTCTGCAGACTTAGCAGCTCCCACGTCTCAGTCTCCATGAGATGCTCCAGACCCCTCATGATCTTTGCTGCCCTCCACTGGACCCTCTCCAGGAACTCCTGGTACCTCTTGTACTGAGGAGCCCAGAACTGGACAGCGCTCCAGACGTGCCTCCCCAGGGCCGGGAACAGGGGCGGGATCCCCTCCCTCCCTCGACCTCCTGGCAATGCCCTTCCCAAAGCCGCGCCGCGTGTCCCCCGGGCCGGGCTGTGCAGCGCACCCGCCTCCTCCCCGCTGCGGAACCGCTCCAAGGCGAGCTGCACCGCCATCTCCACCTCCTCGTCCACGCGGACGTCCCTCAGCCCCTCGGCTCGGGCCCGCACCGCGCTCGCCGCCGCAGCCGAGCCCCCCGTGGCCCCGCTGGGCTGTCGCCGCGGCACCCTCCTGTGTCGCGACATGACCGCGACACCGCCCGGGGCTCCGACACAGCCTGCGGGCAACAGGTCGGGGGGTGCGGCCGGTTCTCCCTCGGCCGGGGGCAGACGACGGAGGCGGCGCGTGCGCGGGGTGACCTACAGCCGGAATCGCCTCTTAAACGGAAGGAAATTCTCTTTCCCCCACCCCCGCAAGCCATTAGGCTGTTAATGCGTGAACCGTCATGACTTCAAAAGTGGCTCTTGGTATCTGTTTGGTCATAAATTATTGTGATTTAATTGAAGGACATTAAACCTAGGTGTGGCAAAGCTTATCGCAGCCCTAGCCTCTTCACTCTAAAGTATTACTTGCCCCTGATTTTGTAAAATGCAGGTAATTTTTCCAGCTGACACTCCCAAAGGAAAGGTGTTCAGCCGTCTATCGTCATGCGGGATCTGTGGGTGTCTTGAGTGTTCTTTAGGTCAGTAAATAACCCTCTGGCTGAAAGCCCTTGAGATCGCCTTTTCCTGTTGTCCTTCGATTCAATGCTGAGGATATGAGAAAGAAAAACAAGGTAAAACTTCGGCATGACACAGGACTCACTATTGAAGGTTGCTACTTTGGAAACATCATTCAAGTCAGAAGGAGAATACTTTGAAGAAGAACAAACTACTCCTCAATTTTGAACTTAAGTGGAGAATTAAATCTCATGGCTAGGCTTTGCGAACGAAGATTTGGGAAGGGCTCTACCCACATTTGCTACAAGCACGCTGGTGGCTAAAGAGGCCAATGCAAGATAGACAAGTCTGGTTGCAAAAGGCACAGCAGAAAGACTCCGTGGGTGGTATCGGCAGGACGTGATTCCTTCTGTGTTGTGTTTTCTCCTCGAGAGTGATCCTGCGTGCGTTCTCAAAAGAAACAGCAGCATTATAGATGGCGTGTCTCCAGGCCTCCCGATTGGAGGCCAGAGTAGACCAGTTATGTTGATCAATATGGCCAAGGCTGAGATGTTGTTTCAGGGAGTCCTTGTATCTTTTCTTCAGGGCTCCTCTCATGCGGCAGCCAGTGGCAAGTTCACCGTAAAGCCAGATCTTAGGGAGGCGGTGGTCCTTCATCCTGGAGACGTGCCCTGCCCATCGCAGCTGTGTTCTCAGCAACATGGCCTCAATACTTGTGACTGCTGCTTGTTCTAGAACAGATGTATTGGTCACGTAATCTGACCAGTGGATGTTTAGGGGAGAATTAAATAAATAGAAGATAAACACTCACTGTCTGATATAGCTGGCTGACAAATACCTCTAAAGAGACCTCAACCAAAGCTATGTACAAAGCTCACTTCAGCATAGTTCTACACTGAGAGGTGGCACTGGAGCTGAAGGATTGCTCTATTCTAAGGTTACTTTTAAAATTTTCTGGTTTTTAATCCAGGTACCTGCCTATCAATCTTCAACCAAAGTACTTAATGCTAGTTCCTTCTAGTTGTTTCTGTGACGTTCAGTACTGTCACCTCAGAGAACATCACATTTATTATGAAAAATTAAACAAGATAGCTGAACAAGATGAGGATTCTTCTTACATTCCTTGGTATCAACGGTAATGAATGAGAGCTCATAATTCATTTGAAAGAGTCACATCAATAATCTTTAATTGTGAACCCAGATCTGTTACCAGTTTCTGTCTCTTAACAGCATCATTTTGCCTTTCTACAGAAAAAAACCTGTGTGATTATGAAAAATGATTCCTTAGGTCCAATTCTGATCTCAATTTGCAATCTTGTGTGTACAGCAGCGCACAGAGATAACAAGTAGCCACTAGGTTAAATCTCATCTATAGAGCTAAGAGTGCGATCAAGCCTGAGTGCATCCAGCATAACAAATGTCTTAATATATGGCTTGTTTCTTTCACTGCTTTGTTGACTCCCTGATGCTATAAAGGGTGAAAAAACAGGAGAAAGTGTAGTCACTCAAATAAAAGCACATGAGTCTGATACAGTGAGGATACACAGAAAGAAAGAATCATTTTTATATACTGCTGCTGGAAAGTAAAGCTGCAGCCTGAATTCACAGCTAATTTAACACTGATGGTCGCAATACACTAAGCATTAATCTGTCTTCAGGAGTTTAAACCAGGAGCTCATTAGTGAAATACAGGGAAGCCTGACTCGGTAAACTAAGAGTATTTGAATTTATATGTTGTAAAGATGAGTGGAGTGCAGGCACACTGAGCACTATTTAAAGTATCCGTCTGCTATACATTTTCGCTATAAATACACCTAAAACTTCTTCAAACAGACAGTCATTCTTCCTAAACTGCTGATACAGACAAGAGGAGTCACGATTCAGCCAGATTTTCACCCAGCCTAGCATTCTAGTTCCAGGTCATGTCCGTATTAGACATAGGAGTAAAAAAAGAACATACAACAGATCATTCTGGAAAACATATATACAAACACTTTTTGTCTGTGTTTCTTAGACATGGAAGTTTATACAGATTCTTTGTACATATTCTGTTAATAAAAATTACTAGCTGTGGATTTTCTTAGAATTAACAACCTGTAAGTCTTTAAAAAATCCTTTTCCATGATTAGCCTCAGAAAAACCTTTTGACTAAGGTTTACTGAAAGCAAATAATTCCTGGCCTAATTTTTTTTCAATTCAAGTTATTTCTTTCTATCACCATGTGTCCAAATGCCCATATATTTTTTTATGGCAAGCATTAAAAGGCAGTGGAGTTTTATGCAAAAATACATCTGCACATTCAAATACAATTAGGCATTCTTATTTTACGCTCCCCAGAGGCACTTTTATTATGCAGCAGATTTCGCTGACTTCTCTTTACTCTGCAGAATATTTTCTTTCTTGCAATGCTCTAGAATTCCACAGAAGATGCCATTAATAAGAGACAAAGAACTGCAAAGGAAGTTTATGAAACAACATTGTCTATTATGTACTAGCTGTGTTAGATTGTGTCAGATTTAGCTGCAAAACAGTCTTTTTTGGGGGTTGTTTTTTGATTTTTTTTTTTAAAGATTTTAAGTGTTTTAAGACTTGTTAGCTCTTGAAATATGATGCAAGGATCACTGGTGAGCTTCAAGATCAGGTTAATGAAAGAGCACAAGATTTTTTTTTTTTTTCTAAGTCCTTCCTTAAAGGTCCTTTGACCTTTTTGAACAGTTTAAACCAAAAATGAAGGAGGAGGTGAAAGATTCAGATGCCAAATTTCTTAAAGCTTAATGAAAATAGGCAGCAGAGTAGAAGATAGGAATCCTATTCCTATTCAACTGAATAGAAAGTCTGCAGTCCTTATTATGTAAAGGAAAGGCTTAAAAAATGCATCAAGTCGAGAATAAATTTTAATCAAAGTTTTTATCTTATTAACTCTAGAAAATCCAAGTATCCACACACCTCTGTTAGGAATTCATGGAGCTAATTCTGTTATTCATCTCAGTCTTTTACAACTGACACTAATTTTTTTCCTTGACGTCATTCACTGCCAAAACATTTCCTTATGAAGGGTTTCAGGACAAGGACAGTAAGAGGCCTCAGAGAGAGGGTATATTGTCTGTATAGACACCTCACTGACTTTATTAGGGATTTGTACATTATCTTAAAATCCCTGTAACACCTTTAATCCAAAATTACTTTCATTTCTGCACAAATGTTGCATGCTTAATAGTTTACCCTGGAAATCTACCACAGCAGCAGCAAAAAGTGAGCAGTATTATACACTGGTCTCTTCGTTAATATCCCGGGGAACTTGGAAACTCCATAAATACTGATGTTGAAGGTTCCACAGGTCTCTAATTTACTCTGTCGTTGTAGAACAACTTCTCTCAGTCTCCACTTGCAGGAGTCCAGAGCCGGGGCTGTTGAACTTCGAGGGTAAAACTGCAACCCTTCAGTGGAGTCCAAGGCATCCAGAGAGTTCAGCAATGTATCCAGAATGAGGGCTGGGAAGGACATGATTCCCAACAGGGTCAAATATGCCATAACTATCTCCACTACTCACTCCTAAAATGAGAAGCTGTCATTTCCAAGGTGAGCAAATTACAGAGGACAGGAGGGAGAGTGGAACGATTCTGCACAAAGAGATCTTATTATGTCTAGAGCATGATATAAAGGCAGCAGGAAAACTGCAGGAATCCCGTGCCTTATAAGCTTGAGGGGTAGACTAAAGGCAGAAGGATTTCATACCTGTGATTCATGTGCTTGTGTCTTTGCTGAAACTGGAACTGAGTGGAACAAGTATGTTCCCTAGAGAGATTTGTTTATCCAGAATGTAATTTCTGTTAGAACACTGTTTCACTGAAATATTTTGACCAAAATTATATCTGTGTTGCAGAAATTTTCTGGAGCACAGAACATGTTTAACTATCACAGCCATCAGTAGCCTGCGGAAAAAAAAGTTATCAAGTTACCTCACAGTCACAGTCTACAAATAGGCCATTTATCTTTACAAGTGTCCCTATTTTTTTCAATCAAAGTAGTTAACAGAAATATGGCTTCAAAGAATATATTTGATAAAACATAGTGAAAGTATTCAATATTTTTTTACATGTATATGTAAGAAATGCAGGAACTAAACTTCTAACTTTTTCTCATGTATGGAGATCCAAATTGTGGATCCATATGCAAGATCCAGAACTAGCAATTTGTGTGGAGTAGGAGAGCAGTTGAGAATATTTTTGGAAAAAGGGGCAAACCTGTTCTTATTTATATTCACTAACAGCAAGAAAAAGTACAATTTTTAAAACAGAATGGTTTTACAAGGTGGCTGAACATTTATAAAGGTGAACAATGAATAGTCAAAAGTGGCATTAGTATTCTATCTAAATGAAAGTATTTTCAATCTTAGATAAAATATCTCAGTTTTGCAGATCACCCTTTGGAGCAGGAGGGAAGAAAATCAGAAAAAATTCAGAACAATTTCACAAGAGAAGTTATTTTCTTTTGAATATACTGGTTTAGGAGTTTTCTACCAGCTCTGTTTGATAAGACTTCCACGGTAAACTCTGCACAAGATTTGCATTTCTAGCTGGAGCTTGAAATCTAAGGTCTGTGATGTAAGGTGGATCTAAAGGAAATAATGTAAGAAGGG